AATGATGTGCAGAAAAATATGTTTACAAAATTATGCATCCAAGAAAGACTACAAAATCTACAAGCCACATGTAAAACCAATATGTCTCCGATTTCTCTCTTAATCATTCTTAAAAACAGTCATGAATATCCAAAAATAATTACAGATTAGTTAATCAACTTCTTCTACAGTAGGTCCATTGCAGGACCCGTTGGTGCTCTGCTGCTGTCCATGTAACTTGGCCATGATTGGTGAACACACTCGTTGTAGATCTTTCTCTCTTTCTTCGTACTCTTCTTTGTCTGCCTGTAAATTTCTGTCCAACCAATCGATTACTTCTTGCACCTTGCTTTTTACCGTCTCCACATCTGCAGAGCTGAGTTTGTTCTCCACCTTTGGATCTACTATCGACTGTTTGACGCTATACGCATAGTTTTCCAAGCTGTTTCTAGCTGAGATTTTCTGGCGCTGTTTCTCGTCTTCTTCCTTGTACCTCTCAGCTTCAGCCACCATGCGATCAATGTCAGCTTTGGACAACCTTCCCTTGTCATTGGTGATGGTGATATTGTTGCTTCTGCCAGTGCTTTGATCCTTCGCGGATACGTTCAAGATCCCGTTGGCATCAATATCCAGAGAGACTTCTATTTTGGGCACGCCTCGAGGCGCCGGTGGGATTCCGCTCAGCTCAAATCGTCCCAGTTCATTGTTGTCTTTGGTCATAGCACGCTCGCCTTCAAAGACTTGAATGGTAACGGCGGGTTGATTGTCGGAATAGGTTGTGAACTCTTTGGAAACTTTTGATGGGATTCTCGTATTGCGTTCAATCAGTGTTGTCATTACCCCACCGGCGGTTTCAATCCCGAGGCTTAAGGGTGTAACATCGAGCAATAAGACATCCTTGATCTCTGAGCTTTGGTCTCCGGATAGGATCGCTGCTTGGATTGCGGCACCGTAAGCTACGGCTTCGTCTGGGTTAATAGACTTGTTTAGCTTTTTACCATCGAAGAAGTCTTCTAAAAGTTTCTGTATCTTTGGAATCCTTGTAGAGCCCCCAACCAGAACCACCTCATGGATTTGACTTTTGTCCAGCTTTGCATCTTTTAGTGCCTTTTCCACAGGCTCGAGGCAAGAGCGAAAGAGATCCATACATAGCTCTTCAAACTTGGCTCGGGTTATCTTAGAGTAGAAATCAATCCCCTCAGATAATGAGTCAATCTCTATATTGGCCTGAGTACTGGACGACAGCGTTCGTTTGGCTCGCTCACAATTAGTCATCAGGCGACGCAATGCTCTTGGATTGCTTTTGAGATCTTTCTTGAACTTTTGCTTGAACTCTTTTACAAAGTGATCCACAATGCGGTTGTCGAAGTCTTCTCCGCCAAGATGTGTGTTACCAGCTGTGGAGAGAACCTCAAAGAGTGATCCTTCGTCGATTGTCAAAATGGAGACGTCAAAGGTACCTCCTCCCAGGTCGAAAATTAGCACGTTCTTCTCTCCGCTGAGGTTTTTTTCCAAGCCATATGCGAGAGCAGCAGCGGTTGGCTCATTGATTATCCTCTTCACATTTAGTCCTGCTATTGTGCCAGCATCTTTTGTGGCCTGTCTCTGAGAATCATTGAAATAAGCTGGAACTGTGATAACTGCATCTCGAACAGTTTGGCCCAAGTAAGCTTCAGCTGTTTCTTTCATCTTAGTGAGGACCATAGAACTGATTTCCTCTGGAGTGAAAGTTTTCCATGCGTCTTTGGTATGTACACGCAGTTTTGGTTTGCCGTTCTCACTGATGACTTGGAAAGGCCAGTTCTTCCTGTCTGATTGAACCACAGGATCATCAAATTTCCTGCCGATCAGTCGTTTGGCATCGAAGATAGTGTTGCTTGGGTTTAACGTTGCTTGGTTCTTAGCAGCGTCGCCGATCAAACGTTCTGTGTCAGTGAAAGCGACATAACTGGGGGTTGTGCGGTTTCCTTGATCGTTAGCGATGATATCAACTTTACCATGTTGAAAGACTCCAACACATGAGTAAGTTGTTCCAAGGTCGATTCCGACTGCAGGAGCTGACTTCACTGGCATCTTCGAAAGCTTCTGATAATGTTCTTGTAGTCTTTTTTCTTGCTGAGGGAGCTTCTTTCGCGTGAAATTTTTGAACAGCTTCGTAAAAAGGCTTGCATTTATACCCCCTAAGCTGGGAAACATTACATCAGATGTCTAAAAATACAAATATGCTGACATCATTTCATCCGTGATTAACCAATGAAATTGATTTTATTTTTAAGAAAAAGTATCTAGAGACTTCTCTAAGTCTATTTTTGTAAGTTCGAGAAAATTCTGAAGGTTCTTTAACATCCTAGCCGCTACTAGATTGTTCCGGAGAGAGAAGAGTGCAATCCAGAAAAATCTCGATTGTTGACGAACGTTCGCTTTGCACCAATCTCCCTCGTCTGCCGCGAGCCCTTAAGCCAACCAGCGGTGTATTCAATATGGCGGCCGTAGAGAAATATGCTGACATTATTTCATCAGTGATTAGCCAATGAAATTGATTTTATTTTTAAGAAAAAGTATCTAGAGACTTCTCTAAATCTATTTTTGTGGGTTCGAGGAAATTCTAAAGGTCCAGTTCGAGAGACGAGTGTAATCCAGAACAACCTCGATCGTTCACGAACATTTACTTAGCACCAATCTCCCTCGTCTACCGCGAGCCCTTCAGCCAACCAGCGGTATACATGCAACCTATCAATATGGCAGTGGCAGGGGAGCGAAAGGCACATGCGTTTCTTGGATCTTGGATTTCTGTTAAGATAGATTGTGACGATTTTTGCACAGTTCTTTTGTTCCTTTTAATTTCGTTAACGTGCACACAGAAGGGTGATAGATGAGAAAGTGTCCAGTGGTATTAAAAAACATACCTCTTCTTGTCCTGATTTCCATTTGTCTAAAGCCCTTGATGTGGATTTTATGAGGCAACGGCTGACAAGAACAGCTATACATATCGTCCGAGACAATTGTTTTCATTAAAGAAATATGCTAAGAACAAAAATAATTCACTAACAGTCTCCCAGCCTGAAAAGTTACGTTACGGGTATGGTTATTACTATTTTGTACGCATGCGGAGAAACAAAACTCTGGAACTTTATTACCTCAATATTAATTATTTGTGTCAGTCCTCACTACCGAACCACGCATTATCGGTCACAACCTGACGCCATTTTCAAAGTACGGAAAACGACTTAACATGGGAAGACAAATGAGGGATTTAAATACTGATCCTCTCAGGAGTTGGCACAAATTAAAACTGCTTTCATTCTGGAATTCTGTGACTAGTAAAAGACGTGCTCTACACAGCAGAGAATTGACATGTATGTATTGGGTTGCAATTTTTTTTAATCTTTGGAAACCTACAATATTGGCAAGTTTTCTTTACCCCACTTGATGCATGATGAAATTAAACTCAAAAAGGCCAGTATGAAATGTTGCTGACAATGAGCTCATCAGCTTCAAAAAATTTGTGATTGGTGAAAGCATAATAAACTTTCCTTAAATATGTCTCTCTTTTTTTTTGTTTATTGAGTCTTACTTTCACATGATTTAAATGCTGAAGTTGATGTCAGATCAAAAAAATTATTAATGCAATCGACATTCAGCTCATTCTTGCTATTTGAACAAGTCCTCCCATACTTCATTTCTGACCAGAAATAAAAAGGCTAAGGCCCAGGGGCCTGGCCCCCTCCCCCTTATTTTGGGTAAAAGAAAAAAGAATTGCAGAAGGGTAGGACAGGGTAAGCAACAAAAAACTGGGCTCCCACCCTTAGCTTAAGGTCTGGATCTGCCACTGTGTGTAGGTATCTCTTTCAAATGCAGTGTGCTGAATCAAACTTTGATTTGATTTAAGTCAAACTTTGAAGACATTACTTTCTTAAATAATGAAGCACTTCTGGTGTGAAATTGTACAAAAGGATGTCCCACAAATTCTAAATGGAAATTAAACCTATAGCTACATTCTTTTTTTTCTTCTTTTGTCATGTAATGGCTGTTTATTGGTGTTTCTAAAGTTTGACTAGGTGGCAGGAAACAGATAATAAATGAGTCACTCAATTTTTTTAAATATGAAGCATTTAATGTTTTTTCATCTTTTCTAAGTTCAAGATTTACAGGGTTGATACAAATATGATATGATTATTTTTTCTTAGCTGATGATAAATTTAAAAAATATTTCATTTTTAGTGAGGTAGCATGTAGGTAGGAGATGGATTTTAATCAAGATGATAGATGAAATAATGACCAACTTATTAACTGTTTTTTTCGTTTTTGTGTGGGTAACTGCTTGTGTAAAGAACATTCAAAGAAAACTTTGATTGCATAATCATTTTGTTTTGATTTAAAGTAGGTAAAAAGTTCTGTTTTCTTCCTTTGTCAAGTTTACGCCATAATTTTCCTAGTGTATAACTGTTCACAGCTTGAATTACCTACTTGGCTAGCATTCCTGATAAACCAGTTTGCAATTGTACACATGAACTATACCCTTGTAGTAGTATGTCCCTAAGTAGCAATTCAGTTGGAGCAAGGAGATTGATGGAGATAGATCAGAGTTTCTATTTACATTGTTCCAGTTGTGTAACGTTGCAGTTTCTCTAAGACAGGATCAGATGTAAGTTCCAGCCTACTGTATTTAGTTTCCTTTTCTTTTCCATTTTGCTTGTTTTGTAATTAGTCTCAGCCCATTTTTTAATCTTGTAAATTGCAATTTCCCCTTTCTAGTTTTCACCGCATGTGTATGATGGTCAGATGATAGCTTTAAATGTTGCTGAATCAACTTGTGTTGTCAATTCCTACACTGTGGTTAAAACTCCCCAAACTCCAGTGCACAACACCCCCTGTCTGTTGCATTGGGTACATGATAGCTTGGTCAACCCCCCAGAGATTTTTTCAGAAGTAAATATGAGAGACAAACAAAGACATTAGAGAGATTTTTTATTTTTGTAAATTCTTTTATTTGAAACTAATTTCTACTTAAGATTAGCACAAACTGACAATTTGTTAAGTGTTTTCTAAACTTAAAGTGCATTGACTCATATGCAGTGTAATGATTTTTGTATTCTCGATGCAATGAAAGAGTATTAATATCTTTTGTGTTCAAGGTTTTCATAAAGAAATAACATGGCAAGAAGTAGGAGAATATTTTCCATGTCAGAATTAGAAATAGTTCCAGCCATCAACACTTAGCTGGAAAATTCTACACATTACCTGGAGAATTCTGCAATATCCAATGGCTTTGAACACCAAGAGTTGCAGAATTTCCTAAGTTCATAACATGTCTTGTTAAATTTGAAACAAAGTGATGAAAGAAAAAAATGACAAAGATCAGCTCCAACATGATTTTCACCACAAATAATCGTTTTCACTTTGAATTAACATTGGCATTTTCATGTTACTTTTCCAGCCATCAAGTCATTGTGCTTTGCTTACAACAGATTCTAAAACAAGGTTGCACCATCTGTTGGAGATCTTCTTTACTAAGGTAAAAGTAAGAAAACAGACACTTGTGAGGAGGAGGATATAGTTTTACACTATATAATCTGTTCACATTCAATGTTTTCGGAAGCTTTTAATGTTAAAGTGCTAGATCTATTTACTCTGTCATACACAAATATCTCTCTTTTTGTGCCTAAGTGTTTTCTGCAAGACATGAGCATCTGCTGGTTCAATGTGTTTGTAGTATTGTTTCTTTGTTTCTATTATTTCAAATCCAAATCTCTTGTAAAATCCTATTGCTCCTTCATTGCTAACTTGAACATGCCTGAAATTAGACAGAGATAAATCATTAACATTCCAGTATGTCAGAGAACTATGAAAAAAGTATTGCATAACTTAAAATGTTTACCAGTAGATCACAGATGATATTAAAATGACGAAAGAACAAGGTGAAGCTGAGTATGTCATTGATGTTCTTCCCACATTTTTATTTCATCTGTGATTTTTTGCTGTACAGGCACATAGTAACAAGGAATCTGTTTGTTTTATACAATAAGGAAGTAAATTATGATTAGTGATATCATGTATGCATCTGTCTTTCAAAAAATCATAAGTAGGAACCATTCAAAATGGGACATGGTTTGATGCTACTCTGGTTTACAGAATTAATGAATGTAACCAAAGAAGTTACAAGGTACATTCAAAATGGGTTTACAATTCAGCTTATCGTATAAATACAAAAATACTAGGTTCTGAAACATTACTTTGCCCAAATCATTTATAATTCAACTACTACATGTACACATACACAGTATGCTTTTTTGATTTAAAGGAAGAGGGGAACTTGCTATAGTTTTTCAGTATTTGTTTCAGACAATGAACAAAGAGGAAAAATCAAGGAAAAATAATTATAGAAAAATAGCTAAATTTCGTCTAAATCGCCTGCTCCAAGGCTTCTATTACCAATATCAACCAAAAAAAAAAACTTACAAATAAACATTGTCAATGTTACCATCCTTTTCACAACATTTTAGCACATGTTCAAGCATGACAGTACCTGAGAGTAAAAAAGGCATTATGTAAACATTACATACATAATTCAATGAAGAAATCTTTAAAACCTATGCATCTCTTAAGCATTTTAGAGTTGCAAGCAGTACCAAATAATTAGACTTTATTTGCTTAGAACAAACCCAATAAAAAGCACACCAGAAGTATAATTCTTTCAACTTACCAATACCAAGTCTTCTATAAGGGGCTAAACATCCCAAAGTCATTATGTAAAGCCGTCTAGCATCTTCTATCTGGTCAATGCGACAGCAAACTGCTCCAACTACAATGTCATTATAAAATGCTAAAAGAGATTCAAGAAAAAAAATTAAAGCCTTTTAATCTGTGATGGTCATATAGCCTTGGAAAAATACCTTTTGGTCAGGTATTTATGAAAGAGAATCAAATATAAAATGTTTTAGGAATAAGAATGTGTTTTAAGCTACAGCTACATATTCTAAAACACAACCTTGGGAAAAGGGAACAACTTAAGCCCCCCCTCCCCCCCCCCCCAACCAATGCCCCTGTGAGGATGCAATAACAATTACCTTAAGATAGGCCATATGGTGGATTCACATGTGACTACTGCTACTTTCGATTTACATCAGCAATGTCATATATGTCTAGTTTGGAGACAGTATATGATAGATACATGTAGCAAATTTTAAGCTTACTTATACATGTATATATAAAATAAAGAAAGATGTTTGAAATTAATCATGTGTGTGATGCAAGGAAACTTCTTTTGCATTTTTCAAGACCCAAGACTGAAAGTTTCAAACTATTTTTCTATTTTCTTGGTTTTAAGTTTGCCAAAATAAATAGTAGCAAAAAAAAAAGAAATAAAATGGTCTTGTAATTAAACTATTTCACATAGAATTATCTTAGTCAATACTCTTCGACAAAGTACCTAGTTTCGCTAGTTCCCCAACTTCAAGTACATCCTTGTAAAACTGTAAAGCAATACAAATCTGCATGAGAATTAATGTGTCGCTAAATATTAGATCTATGAACTTGAGATTTCTATTGTGAAATCATTGACTATCACCCGTAGAAATTGAGAGCGAATGATCTAAGCGTCCTAGTGTAAATCTGCTATTCGTTTAAAACCTATCAACATTTTGATTACAACTGCACATGTTACTGTTTAATTGTAATAGAATAAACAGTGAGTCGCATAGAAAATCAGATTACAGCATATACCTGTGGATTTCTACTAACACAGTAGACGCAAAGTTTTCATGTGCCCCGAGATAGTCCTAAACTCTTCACCGGTATAACTTGCAGATATTTTGCGAACAAATAAAAGTTAAGCTTTTTTAACCAGAGCCTGCTGCAAACATATGTAGGAGGATGGCAAGAAATTAAAATTTATATACACCTAAGTAGGCAAGATTGTTAAAAAAGAACTACATGTTATCTGGAAAATTCTTCGATGACATTAAAAATATCCTTGACAGAGAAATGTGAGTATTTAATGCAGAACATTTGACACCTCATTTCGTTGATGGGGGGCTTCAAAAAAACCAGTTACACAATCATAGTCACGATTTATATTCGGTGAGATGCAAACCATCGTCTGTAGTTTACCGACTTTGTGAAGTTCGAGAACATCTAAAGAAAAAGACCGCCTACATATTTAGCATGATGATGGCAGAGTGATGACATCTTGAAAATGAAATGTTGGTTGTCTGTGCACATGCGTTAGTTCCAAATTGTCACATGAAATGTACCAAATTTTTGTTCCATCGAAAGATATTCGATGTCTCTTCAGCAGATGAACTATTAACATATCTAAAACAGTCTAACGAATCTTTTCTCAACAAACGATGGAAAGCTTAATCTTTACCTTGTCGTTATAGCTGACGGGAAATACAACAGAGTTCAATTTCTTGAGCTGCTTGATGTTGTGAGGAGTTACATCACCTAACTCTGTTCTTCCCTTCCTGTTCCACGGAAATACTAAAAGATCAGTGAACGCGAAGAAGATCAAACAATCGATCCAGAAAGATACTCACGGTTTCAGAGGTTTCGATGTAACAATTTCTTGATCATTCGACATATTTCTACAGGATCACTCATGTAATCGTTCCCGCCAAACACTGCCCATGCTCGATCCTCGCTTTCAGGATGAGTGCTAGTGCCACTGCTAAACTTGTATAAATTGCAGGCTCAACTTGCAAAATGGCAACCTTGGAGATTCGTCTGAAGAGAGTGAACAAGATTTACCACGAAGGCGTCAGTATATTCTTGGATATTCTAATGTTTTAATTGCAACTGCACTTTAAATAACTCTGAATGATCTTAATTATAAAACTATGAATCCATAACTTCGGCTCGGATACATATATACATACATGCATACGTAGATTATGAGCTCGAGATTTCTACCGCACAATAGTTGACGAGGGGGAATCTACTATCAACTAACGTGCATAAAAAAACTGGAGTGAATGATTGGATATTTTAGTATAAATCTACTGGTATTTCGAAATTCTCCTCACTATCTATCGCTGAATAGATAGCGAATGGCACAGCTAATCAGATTGCAGTATTTGTGGCAAAGAGTGAGGAGATTTATACTATTATTTGAGAGACCGATCTAAAGTAAGTTTTGTACATGTTGCTCATACATAGTTTAATTGTATCGTTACATTTTATGTTTGTTTGTTTGAAACTTTACCGAACATTTGTTTGATACTTTACCAAACTCAAAAATAAAAAAAATTTTTAAAAAAATGTCTCATGACAGATATGGATTGGAAATTGTCCAGGGTGATCTTGGTAGCAGATATAATACAATTTGTCAGTGCTGACTTATTTCAAATATGAATGGAGAGTCCGTTAAGGTGGTATGGAATTTTGATATAACTTGGGAATGTTATTGAATCACCTCTTTCTGTATTAATCTTAGGACATTGTTAAAGGTGTTATTGTAGTTCAGAGTCGCGGAGAGCTCTCACACAATGGTATCACTCTCTCTATGGAAGGATCTGTGAATCTGCAACTGAGTGCTAAAAGTGTTGGAGTTTTTGAAGCATTCTACAACTCCTTGAAGCCAATCCATCTGGTCAACTACTCCCTAGAGATTGCAAAACCTGGCAAATTATACCATTCTATTTCAATGTCTTTAATTTTTGGTTTGATATTTGATTGTATTTGTATTGTATTTTCATCACCATTCCAACAGTACAATGTCAGCATGAGTAATTTTCGTGTTTTCCCATCTATATAATCTTGATTTTTTTATTCCATTCATGATAATGTTGTTGGAAAACTGAATCACTCTTATCATCCTTCCCTGTATCACATGCATATTTTTATCTATCATGTAAAATCTTGCATAGTCCATTTATTATTCAGACTTTGCTTCCTGTGGCCTTTAGACAATATACATGTAGGTCACTGAGATGTTATGCAGTTCAGATTTATATTTTTGACTAGGTTATTTACAGACCCATCATTGTTAAATTTTAATAGTTTAAATGTTATTCTGAGATGGATTTGAATGACTGTAAGGTTTACGCCAAATGGCAAGACTGAACTTCCTTTTGAGATTCCACTGAAACCCAAGGGTAACAAGCCACTGTATGAGACCTATCATGGAGTTTTTGTAAACATTCAGGTATTTTTTAAGTTTTACATGTTGAACAGTTGTATGATTTGACAATAGCACCGAGTGTTATTACTTTAGTATGTTTAACAGGTTATTATATTTATAATGGTATAGCTCATGTCCAAATCAATAACATAATAGAATTATACCAAAGTATGAATGCTTCCCAATAGTTTCTCATTTATTTCCAACCTGCTAATCCTCACACAGTTTTAATGTTCTTAAACATTTCATTAGTCACTCAACTCCTGTAAGCATTCATTTTTCCAAGAAAATGTTACCAGCCACAAGTAAAGTCTTACCTCAGCACAGTGACCTCAGCTAGTTTTAGCATTAAACTGCTTAAACTCACTTTCCATTTCTGATTCCATCCCTACTCAACATTGACTTGACTTTCCAATGAAAGAAAGACCCTGACTATAACTTTTTAGTTTTCAGTTTGGCTTTTCCATTTTATCTCCAATGCAGAGAGGAATGTTTAAAGCTTCAGCTGATTTGTTGTTTATTATTCTACAGTACTATCTCCGAAGTGAAATGAAAAGGCCATATTTGAACAAAGACCTTCAGAGCCAAGCAGAGTTTATAGTTGAGAATAAGGTTATTTTTGGAATTATATTACTCATCTTTCTACATTGTATAAACAAAATGAAGCACCTTTTTAAAGTCTTTCATATTCTATAAAATTGAATAGCATACTAGATCTTAGTGCACTGAAATGGACTAAAAGGATCTCATCATTGACTATCAACAGAAAGTTTAGAAGTACAAATTAACTGCAATCACTAGTGAAATTCAAAAAAGTGATTTTGAGCATTAGAATTTTATTGGTGTTGAAAAGAGAATATGGGTTACATTTGTGTTTGCATATTGTTTTATAAAGCTGTCATAAATACAAAGTTTACATCAATCACATAGGAATGGAAGGCACCAAAATTAGATTCCTGAACAAATGCTTATCATTTACCCATGTCAATTAACATATTGGTAATCAACCCTCTAGTACATTTATTGGACAACACAGCACCTATATTTATTGTCTCTCAAAGCAAAAAGGGAGGCAACATAGCTGAGTGATAAGAGTGCTGGACTAGTTTTGTGGTTGTCCAGGTTCAAGCTCTCCATCTTGTTACTAACTGAATTTGTTCTCAAGTGCCTGAAGTTCAGTTCTTGGGAGTGATCTGTTAACAGCTAACTGGTCTGTCTCCCATTGCTCATTTTATGGTTACAATATTATTTATATGATATTTGTTTCATTCTTTGTCTACACTGGCCATGAAAAGGAGCCATCATTTAAGACAACTTGTATTGTTATATCACTACTATTATTGTCATTATTATATCTCAAGCCACAAGATACTTAAAAATATGACCCTGTGGAGTATTAGTTCCTGACTGTTCAATAAGTTTAAGTCTAATGATTTTCTATAAAGAAAGTTATACCCATTGGCATTTGAAGTTCTTAATTGTTTTTGCTTTATTGTGTTAGTGGTAATGTTCTCTAAAAGTTTTTAAAATTTTTTTCCAGGTGACATCTAAGAAGGGAGAGGTAAAACCTGTAGAGTTTTCTATCACACCAGAGTCCCTTGAAAATGTGAAAGAGGTAGTGTTATTTACACTTGTGCAAAGTTATAATAAGTCAACATAGTGGAAAAGGTTTTTTTTTACCTACTATGTGCCACCTACAGTTTAGGGGTCACACAGTATCTGATAAATTCTCTTCAGCATTAACATGGTTGGTTTGTTCTGCTGTTTTGAATGAATATGTTTGTGTTTCTTTTTGTAGAAAGCAAAGGTACCAAAGTTCTTAGTAAAAGGCAATCTGGACAATGCTCTGTGCTCTATCTCTAAACCGTTCACAGGAGAGGTAAGAGTCTGATTATTGCTTAATAAGATAATAATGGTAAGACAGATTTTTAGTAAATGAATTTAAAAAATAGGCCTTTATAGTCATGTAGTTTGACATTGTTCTTTGAGATCTGAGATTTTCCTTTTCGAACAAAGTTTATCAATGGGCATATTTGGCTCATAAAGCAGGATTTGAACAGTTCTGCCTCTGTAATATATGTGTAATTTACTGTGGAAATATTCAGCCAGGTGATTGCATGAAGAAACTGTTGTTATTTCATAGCTGGAGGTTGTTGAATCAGACAGACCTATCAAATCCATTGAGTTGCAGCTTGTCAGAGTAGAAACATGTGGTAAGTAATTTTTAAAGGTTTATTATCTGTGGTTAACACTCCTCTATTGTATGTCCCTTAAATAACATTTTTTTATGGTGCCAGAAATATGCTTTAGAGGAATCATTGTTTCATCAGAGTTATGACAAATGAAACTTAGGGAATTAACTGTAGTGTTAGTTATGGCATTCAAAATTAAAGCAACATAAAAGCAATATAAATTGAAGAAAATATAACCTCTGGTGAGGTTAAAGGGAGAGAGGTTCTAATATTATTTTTAAATCATGGACAGTTTTGCAACTTTTTTGACCATATAGCAAAAATTTTGACACTATAGCAAAAAATTCCAAACTTCATAGAATTGTCTTTAAATGTACTGTAGGAGTTAGGGGTATGTCTTAGGAATTTTGACTATTCTTTACAACACTCTAATAATAGCAGCTCTATAGCTTGATATTGTAATGCATTTCTCATCTGTTTCCATCGTTATATTTTGATGAAGTGTAGTGAGGATGGCCCCTTTAACCCCACATCAATATCAACGAAGGTCATGATGAATGACCAGTGAGAATGGGCCAAAACACACCAAGACCAGCTTACTATCAAGCTGCATAGACAGTGATACACTACCTTTTGAATCTCATTGTCTGACAAAGACATCACTGTCCTTAATTAAAGTCTTCACTGTACAACTGGTAGTGACTCTAAGACAAACAGTTAGACATTCATTTTCAAATTTATTATTTTCTTATTCTTCATATTGTAACTACCATTATCATTACTTTTAATATCATCGTGATCTTCACCTTTATCATAATTAGCTCCAGTATCACTATCATTAGTAATATTGCCATGCAAATAAAGTACATAGTAAACTTATAATTACTCAATTCACTGACTCTAGGTTGTGCAGAAGGATACTCAAAAGATGGTAATTATATTGTATTTTGCTACTAGAATTATTTGGCAAGAAGAAGTTTATCCCAACCACCTTTTTTTACTTTGTGTGGTATAGATGTAAGGTAGCAGTGTGTGTTGAAGCATACCTTAATATGCTACCACATGTTTTCTGTAAATCTGTAGACTTGGTTCTTCTGTCTTAGACATATGGGGTGCTTATCTTACATTACCAAAGACAGGAAAGACCTAAAGTTTTCAAAATGAATAACAAGCCCATAAAATGTTTTTATTCACAGTTTTATGAAAAATAATCAAGAAAAAAAATTATAAACTGCAATTTTTGCTTTCTTGCATAGAAACAGTGTAAAATTGCCAAATTTTGAAATGTGTCAAAATTCCCACACATATTTGTAATGTCTTTGGGACAATGTCAACCTTCCAGGCCCCATGATAGACCAAGACAGAATTTCTCCTTACAATACCAATACAATATCATGCAGGCAAGTGATGAGAATAGAGAAAAAGCAAGCAAGCAGTTCTCTGATAACAGTATGCCATCCAGTAAACACCACAATTCTAGCTATCAGTATTAGAAATATTTTTATTTTTATTTTATTCATTTGTCATTTTATGCAAAACAAAACAAAATTATCAACGGCTAGGAAAACTAATAATTAAAGGTTGCAAGCTTAGGTTCCCTCACATGTGCAGTTGTTGTACAAGATTAATGAACCTAAACAACAAACAAAAATCTAAACAACATATGTAATAAATAGAATAATATTCTTTTACAGCTACCGAGATTCAGAACATTCAGGTAGGCTGTAAAATTGTTCTATTAATCAAAATAGAATATCTTTTGAAGATTGGCTTCATGACAACGAGAATGTATCCCTAGTGAAATTTTAAGACTTTTGTGGTTATTTGAATGAGGTAACACTGTCCAGCCGTATCACAAAAAGGAAAGCAGCCGGTATATTTTTTTAAACTTGTAAAACCGTTGAGAATAATGTGTCAAAGCGACGGAGGTGAAATGATGAATCACAGGAAATAGACAATCGAAAGGCATAAACCGAAAACTCTGTTTTATTCATTAAGACGGAATATTGAACATGTGTAAGGCAATGACCGAAATCGGTTAGCCTAAAAACCCATTGCCCAATCGTTAGCTGGTGCTCAAATTGCCTATTGGAAGAAGTGTTCAAGAAGTGTTTAGAAATCTTTCTAACTTAGTTGCCAAAGTTAGTTATGTCGGTCAGTATGGTACAACGGTTGTCAAGAACTGTCTGCAGCTATCCTTAGCGCGGCAGAAATACACCCAGCTTTATTTCAATAACTTTGAACTTTCGTTTCAGATCGCAGAGGGAGATGTTTGTCGCGGTCTCAGGATCCCAATATACATGATATTTCCTCGTCTATTTACCTGCCCGACATTGACCACTGCGAACTTCAAAATTGGTCAGTTGAGTACCTATAATAAAAATCACAAGCGCAGGCAGGATTTTACTGAAAGTCAAAGCAAAGCCAGTTTTTTTCTTTATTTTCCGTTATCATAGATAACCACTTTTTGTTGACAAACAGAGGGGCTAACAGCCAGCACCCTAAAGACCCTATAGCCATGGCCGTGAGAACATGTCACACATTCATATTTTCTGTAGCGATGGGCGTAGTTCCATGGGCCGATGGAATAACTTCCTTAAGGCTTCATTAAACTGACCGTGTAGCCCTCTCTTGTTTGTCACAGAACTGCCTGGAAGAAGGTAGCTAAAAAATTGATATAACGGCTGAAGAAAAAGTCAGTTGGTGCAAAAGAAGTGATTCCCGCTAAGATACGAAAAACGCACTAGTGGAAAAAGACATTCATCCCACTAGTTGAAAAGTTGTCTTCTTTCTGGCGGGTAGTGGGAAGTTATTTGTCATAGCTAGTTAGAAAATTTAACAAGCTGCCTAAGAAACTATTTTATCTAAAAGCAAATCTACTAGTGTCTTATCACAAATGCTGCAATCCGATTGGCCACGCTGCTCCCTATCCTTGACAATTATTTCACGATCGTGCATTGTATATGAGATGATAGATAGCTATGATCATCTCATATCCAACAAGCACGAGTAGAATAATTGTTTTATTAAAAACCCTCCAAAATATAGATAAATCTCCCCAACTTTATTTTGTAAGAACAAACGGAATGTTTCAATGTACTAAAACACTTCCGGTTTAACTGGTTTTCATGCCTGTGCATGGTATGATGGCTCATAACCCATGATGTCTAAGCCAATGAAAACTCTCGAATTGCATAATCCGATGATCAAGGTTTTAATAATCCGTGATGAACAATGAGTAGCTTGAGTAGTCCAACAGTGTGCGGTTATAAATAAAGTAAAAAATAAAATTATGATCATGTCTTGCTGTTATGCTGTGAACGACTATCAGATTTGTACTAAATCAACTTTGCGTTCCAGTATATTGGGGCTTCTCCATCTTCAACTATCACGCGATAGAAATCTCGCACTTTTAATCTAACTGTTGAATACAGCAGTTTGCAAATAATCTTTGTTCTTCCTCTTGTTTCAGAATTTGAGGTGAATGTGGTAATAGTTCTTCAAGATGATCATCTCATTACAGAAAACTTTCCAATTAAAATTATGAGATTTGAAAATAATGCTGTATGATTCCTAGAGGGGAAGGACTCTTGCAAAGTGTCTCCTTCCTTTAGAAATGATTAAAGGAAAGCTTATACAATCCATAAAGTCTAGTAAAGGATTTGAACGAAACAATGTATGTCTTTAATACGACAAGAAGTAGTTCTGACTTTCTGATGGTTTTTCAAGTGTTTAAAATATGAATTTATAGCTGCATTAGAAAATTTTATATTTTTTAAGATGATAATAAACGAACAAGAATTCTGTTGAAGGGTGTGTTGTCGTGCCTTTTATTTTATGTTCCCCCAGAAACAGGCCTGATTTCCATGTTGTTGTTGGCAACCGTCTGTCTCGGAAGACAATGGCAATCTGCACCTAAGAAGTAGAATCACGTCAAGCTGCACCGCCGGCTGTGGCTGTGAAGCCCAATACGGGAGCCACAGACCCGCTGGCATTTTGTGCAGGTAAAGTCATTTGTGGGGGTTGGTTGAATGGGGGCAGACTGGAGCCTCTGTCGCCTGTGAGTCCTCTTCACCTCCCACTGGCTCTCCCTCTTCAACTCGGCTTTTTTGACGCCGGCCTTGACAGTCGATCGCCAGAGTGTACGGTCGGCTGTTGCTGACTCAAGGTTTCCAGGGCTGATGCTGCAGGTCTTCAAGTCACGCTTGCAGACATCCTTGTAGCGCAGAGTTGGTCGTCCTGTTGGCCGCGTCCCTGTGGCGAGCTCACCGTACATGATGTCCTTTGAGATGCGTCCATCATCCATTCTGCATACATGGCCGAGCCAGCGCAGTCGCCTCTGGGTCAGCATGGCATACATGCTGGGTAGACCTGCCCGTGATAGGACCTCTGCATTTGTGATGCGGTCTTGCCAGGTGATGCCAAGGAGTCGTCTAAGGCAGCGCATGTGGAAGGCATTCAACCTGCGTTCTTGGCGGGAGTAGAGGGTCCATGTCTCACTACCGTAGAGAAGGGTGCTCAGTACGCAGGCTTGGTACACCTTCATCTTTGTGTTGATGGTCAACAGGGAATTGTCCCAAACTCTCTTTTCAAGGCGAGCCATTGCCGTTGCTGCTTTTCCTATCCGAACATTGAGCTCAGAGTCCAGGGATAGGTTGCTGGAGATGCAGGAGCCAAGGTAGGTGAAGTTGTCGACTACCTCTAAGGCGTGCTCGCCAATGGTGATGTGTGGGGTGACGCTGACACCTTGGCCCATGATGTTAGTCTTTTTCAGGCTGATGGTTAGGCCAAAGTCATTACAGGCTTCCGCAAAGCGTGTGATGAGCCGCTGCAGTGCCTCCTCGGTGTGGGCGGTGAGGGCAGCATCATCCGCAAACAACATTTCCCTGATGAGAACTCTGCGCACCTTGGTCTTAGCACGGAGGCGGGCCAAGTTGAAGAGGTTCCCGTCGCTCCTGGTGTGGAGGAAGATGCCATCTTCAGACTCACGGAAGGCATAGCACAAGAGAAGGGAGAAGAACACTCCGAAAAGTGTCGGGGCCAGGACACACCCTTGCTTCACGCCGTTCTTGATTGGAAAGGGGTCTGAGGATGATCCGTCAAACTGGACTGTACCGTACATGTCATCGTGGAAGGATGTGATCATCTTCAGGAGCTTTGGCGGACACCCAATTCTTTCCAAAAGGGCAAAGAGACCATTTCTGCTCACCAGGTCGAAGGCCTTGGTCAGGTCAATGAAGGCAAGGTAAAGTGGGCGTCTCTGTTCGTGGCACTTCTCTTGAAGCTGTCTGAGGGAGAATACCATGTCGATTGTCGATCTCTCTGCACGGAACCCACATTGCGACTCTGGGTAAATGCGGTCAGCCAGCAACTGCAGTTTGCTAAGCACGACGCGAGCAAAGGCCTTTCCTACGATGCTGAGAAGGGATATCCCACGATAATTGTTGCAATCGCTGCGCTCGCCCTTGTTCTTGTAGAGCGTGACAATCTTAGCGTCCCGCATGTCCTGGGGTATCGTGCCCTCCTCCCAGCATTGGAGCAGGAGATCGTGCAGGTGGCCGAGAAGAGAACTCTCACTTGCTAGCTTAACAATCTCGGGGGGAAGGCCGTCACTGCCTGGTGCTTTGCCGCTGGCAAGGGACTTGATGGCTTTCCTCAGCTCGTCAACTGTGGGTGGTGTGTCAAGCTCTTCCATGGTGGGTAGGGTGGTGTTCTCGATGGCGGTGTTGGTGACAGTGGTCTCCCTAGAGTACAGCTCCTGGTAATGCTCCGCCCATCTCTCCATCTGTTTGCCGCGGTCGGTGATGATCTCGCCTGTGGTGGACTTGAGTGGAGCAATCTTGATGGCACTAGGGCCAAAGGCTTTCTTCATGCGCTCATACATGGCGTGGATGTTGCCACAGTCCGAGGCGATTTGGATGCTGTGACACAGGTCGAGCCAGTAGTCATTTGCACACTTGCGAGCAATCCTCTTGACGTTGTTGCGAGCAGCTCTGTAGGCAGCCAGTGTTTCCTTGGAGGGCTGTTTCTTGTGCTCGAGGAGTGCGGTGCTCTTGGCAGTGATGGCGGGCTTCATCTCCTTGATCCCCGCCTCGAACCAGTCTTCACTTTTTCTCTCCCGCATTCCGAAGGCGTCTGAGGCCGCCTCATACATGGTGTCTCGGATGTAGTTCCATCGCGCTGTGGCACTGTCAGTTGGACAATCCTCTAAGGCTTTCTCCATGGTCTCGGCAAAGCGTTCACGCGGTCCTGGGAGTGAAACTCTGGCTGTGCCAATACGGGGGCGTCCTTGCTGTTTGGAGTGATGAATGCGCTTGGGCTGGAGACGCACCTTGCTGCAGACCAGGGAGTGGTCCGTGTCACAGTCGGCACTGTGGTATGTGCGAGTGATGAGCACGTGGTTGAGCAGGGACCTCCTGGTGATGACGAAGTCCAACTGGTGCCAGTGCTTGGATCTGGGGTGTCTCCAGGACACTCTGTGCTGCGGTTTAGTGGAGAAGAAGGTGTTGGTGATGCACAGACCATGGAAAGTGCAGAGTTCAAGTAGCCGCTGTCCGTTCTCGTTAAGCTTGCCCACTCCGAAGTGTCCTATGCATCGCGGCCATGAGTTGTGGTTCGAGCCTACCCGGGCGTTGAAGTCTCCAAGTAGGAACAGGTCTTCTTTCTGTGGGATCTCTCTGATCTTGGCTTCAAGCTCCTCGTAGAATGCGTCCTTAGCCTCGGCTGTAGCGCAGAGTGTGGGAGTGTAGACGCTGAAGATGTTTGCTGGTCCAGAGGGGGTCGAGAGGCGGAGAGAGAGGATCCTTGCAGTCCCCTGAGAAGGAGGCTCCATTGAAGACAGGAGGGTGTTGCGCACTGCGAATCCGACCCCATAGAGGCGGCGCTCTTCTGGCTCGAGTCCCTGCCAGAAGAAGGTGTAGTCCTTCTCCTTGAGACTGCCACTTGCGGGGAGGCGTGTCTCCTGAAGGGCGGCGATGTCGACCTTGAGTTTGGACAGCTCACGGTCAATGATGGGGGTTTTCCTGGCATCATGGATTTGCTGGAGGTCGTCAGAGAGGCCAGGACACATTGTTCTGACGTTCCAAGTAGCAAGCTGTAAGGCTGGTGATTTCTTGTTTCTTTGTTGTTTGCCTGGTGCGGGGGCTTTACAACCTGCCTGTCGGTTTTGCCTAAGCTCCAAGCACCCAATGGAGCAAGCAGGTTGTGGCGGGGTAGCAACTCAATTGTCCGGGGGCTGCCCGGCTTGAGGCGGGCGTTAGCTACCCAATGGGGCTCAAAGACCCCTCCCACCGTCGAGAGCAACCCCTGGCGCCCGGCTCTACGCCAAACGAGCCTGGACTTATAACCGGTAGACTGCTGCTCTCCGTGTTGTGCCTACGCTGGTCAGCGAAGCTGGAGTGACCTCTCCAGGTGCAGGCCTGGGCGGAAGATATGGAAATCCTGGTGTGCCCAGTTGCCAGGATCCCCCTCTCGGCGTTGCTGGTAGGGTCCGACGGAAAGGACGAGCCGATACGGTCGGTGCCAGCGCAGCTGCAGGAGTTGCCGGAAGGTTTCACGTTGTTCCACCAGCCGCCTACGGGGCTCTACTCCGGATTTTCTGTAAGGGTTTACTCCCATAGCCTTCACTTCTCCCAAAGCAACCACAAGGCAGTGGTGGTTCTGCGGCAGGTAGTACTGGGTTACAGGGTACCAGTAGCAGGCAAAATATGTACCTGACCTGACTGACAAAATTGATTATTTCTTTTTCTCATTCGTGGTAACAAATTGTGCTTTACATTGCTGAAAGTCTACATCCCTGCCCTAGAAATTGGTGTGTGTTAACAATGTTATTTATTAAACCACGTGGAAAATGAAAAATATCAATAATACCTCGAATTCGCCTGGCTGTTTGTTATTTTGAGCTCATTACGCAGTATTAAAAGGCGTTAGAAGGATTATAATACAACGTCTCAGTTTTCACTAGCGTTTCATGGGAACGTTCACTCTTTCCCGTCATGGTTAGATTCACCATGTAAATATCTTCTTGTTTAGCGACAGTTTCTTTTTCGCATAGAGGGAGTACCATCTTCCAATTGCCTTTATCAGAGTTTACGAGATTCAATAAGTCTCTTTGGAGTTCTTAATGTACGGCGATGAATTGTTTGCTTGTGTCAAAATTAAATTTTTAACTAAAACTCGAAACGTAAATCGAAGTCCAACAGGAACTCGAACTCAAAAACAAACTCGAGCACACCTTACTCCCAAAGCAGAGACGATAGCGATTGACGTACCACGTCCACTATTTCAAACTTCAATCCTTTGGTCAACACACGTGTGAAATTGATTCGACTGCAAAGAGAGAAAGTTTATTCTTAAGTGCTTTAAACACAGTCGATGGGTGTTTCGGAAAACTGTTTCAAACATCCTTAAATCTACTTCTTTCAATTTAATACACCAATACTGCACATAATTACAATTGATATCGAGGGTTCGTTATATCGAAAACTTCGATTTAACGGAAAAACCACTAAAATGTTCCCTATATAAAGTGATGGTCAATTTTTTTTTGTAGTGTCAGTCGTGCTACCCAGCATTTTGAGATCGGAACGATTACTGTAATTAACATTTGTGCTTTAATGTCTATATGAAGCTACAGTGCGCTGTACAGGTCTGTACATAGTTACAGTACCTTGTTTTTAAAGCACAGAAGACAATTGTCGATAGTTTCAGTGTCAGCATTTATAATGAGCTGTTAACTGTGAAATTGTTCTATTTTTACAGAACTGAAGGATTTTGACTCTTGTTGGTCTGTTTCGTATCTTTTGTCACGTGTTGACATAGGCTCATTATATCGGGGTATATTACACGTTTGGGCTTCTGCATTGTGTTCATTATAACGAGGATTTCGTTATATCAAGATTCTTTCCCATACACTTTACTGTAACTTTGGCCGGGCTGAAGAGTATCGTTGGTTATACGGAGGACTTCATTATCTAGCGGTTCGTTAAATCGAAGTTCCACTGTAATTGTGACCAACTATATAGAAACTATTGTGAACGGCGAAGCTGATTACTCTTCAGGATCTTAAAAGTATTTGGAATGAAGCTTGGAGCGTTTATGTTTCTTCTTGGAAGTAAGCACTTTTCAATATGATAAGTTGATTTTTTAAACGTATATTTAAAAGAACTAATTTGTGGTTCGAGAGTACCGCATGATGACTGATGAGGGCGAAGCCAGAATCTGTTATCGCGCGATAAATGTCAAGAGCGTAAAATCGAATTGTTCTCATTTAAAATCTACCAAACGTTCAATCTCATTAACAAGACAGGCTCACTGAAGTTGAAATTGAATAATGATCTGAACCGCAGTTCCAACGCACGGATAATTGACACTCGCACTTTCGTACTTTTACCCTTGTGTACTCCTTTGCGTTTTTTCAAGGATCATTGAAATCTTCATTCGCTCGAACCTGAAACGAAAAGTCTTCTGTTAACAGGGTATTTTATAAGTGCCTGATACCTCGATTTATTTAATTTGTCTTTCTAATACATCGCTTCCGCTAATTTTTGTTCTCAAATTCCTTGTTTCTTAAAGCTCGGAAAAATCTGGTAAATGTTAAGCAAAGCAGAGAAAACAAGTTTTGTACGACGTCAGCCATGCGCTGAATTCGTAGGGATCGTTGGGGACTGATCACGAACAGTTTGTCGCATAAATATGGATTACTTCGTAGAAAAAGCGACGTACAGATTTTTACTCACGATTTGGAAAATTGGGAAAGCGAGCGAATTGTTTAGTTTAGTAAACTACACAGAGCCTTTTTGCACATCAACGGACTACTTTTTGTCATAATTTTTTTTACGCGTTCTGATTTGGATGAAACGTCGTGCTTTATTAGAGTACAGATGCACGGAGTAACTTTGTCATGCCATCAAACGATATGTGCAATGGCCGAATATTTCCCGGACTTCTCTCTCGTTTTTTTTTCTTTTTCTATTGACCTACAAGTCTTGCATGACCTAGAACGCGAATATGAAAACGACCTCCTGGCTTCAATTGATCCAGAACAACCCGTGTAGGTAACAGAACAAATCACAAGGAGATAGAAAGTGAAATTTCGGAACCAAGGTATTGATAAAAACACCGAGTCAGTTAGCAGCAACGGGAGAAATAAACAACTGCTTGTGGCCATGCCAAACGTCGAAATTGACGAAATTTATAACGTGAGCAGTGACGAAAAACACGAAAGAGAAAACGCCGGAAGTAGACTGTCCGACTTTTTGAAGGTTTTCTCGTTTAAAGAGTGTCTCAAGCTTAATTATTAATTAGAGTTGAAACACTGTTAACACTCTTATAATAAATATTAATAGTTTTTTCTTTAAAAAAAAATCAAACAGGAATGACGTGACTTGTGAAACTATTTCAGTTTGTGACCTTATTCATTTTGTGAGCTATTTCAGTTTGTCATCTTTGATGGTTTCACATTTTGACTGCTTTATTCTTATCCAATCAAATTATTTGAAAAAATCCAGGAAAGATTCGATTGGTCTGTTTTGGCAAGCTTTATGAGAGTACAGCAGCATGCTAACGCCACCTTTGTTCGTTTGGAAGCTAAAGTTCGTTTTGAAAATTTTTACGAACGCGTGGCGAATTTATTGTTTTCTTCGTCACAAAACCAATAACAAATTGAAAGCCTTTTTTCACGACAAAGAGGATGATTCTAACACCCCTACTAGATACTCTGGAAACACTTCAGATTCGAAAGTCTAAATGGACTCCCCCAGAGGGCCAATTCGCATCTTTAGATTTTTTCATCAAAAAATGTTGCCACGATTTTAACAAACTTAAATTCAATCGTAACACCAAATTTTCCAACCTTTCTTCGGAAGAGTGGTCGGCCCTAAAAAGTGTATAAAAATGCAGAAATTTTTGTGTTTACTTTTTACTAATTATAAAATCCACAAACCTAACAACCTTGGTCGACCCATCGTCTCTGCCTGCAGTTGTCTTGCCGAACTCATTTCCAGCTGTTTAGACAAAATTATAGCACCTATTGTCAAAACTTTACCATAATACATGAAGGACAGCCACTACGCACTTGAAATTATTTGTGACCTTAATTTCCTTGGCCAAAATAAGTTTATTTTCACTATGGATGCTACATCTCTTTGTACTGTTATTACCAATGACTAAGGTCTCTGGGCCCTCAAACATTTTTACGATCAACGCACTGTTAAGAAACTTAGCTCTGAAACACTATTCCGTTTAGCCAAACTAGTGCTTACATTCAGTTGCTTTTCATTCGGTGGCAACTACTACAATCAAACTAACGGCGTAGCCATGGGTACTAAAATGGGACTCAGCTACGCCAATCTTTTCGTAGGATTTATCATGAACACCAATTTTTGAATCAAACCACGGCCCCGACCTGAACTTTACGGCCGCTACAATGACGCCTGCATCGGCGCCACCGCCTCTGCCAGAGAGGAGCTCACTCAATTTATAACCGCCGTCAATTCCTTTCACCCGGCTCTGAAATATACCTAAGAAATTTACGACACTTCTTTGGCTTTTCTAGACATAAAAATTTCAATTTTAAGCAACGGTCTATGCACTACAGATTCACATAATTACTTGTTATATTCATCTTTACATCCATCACACAAAAAGAAGTCCATCAGACTTCGTCGTTTATGTAGTGACGACTCTGATTTTTCTGGAAAATCAGAGGCAATCTACCAGTTTTTCGATGAACCTGGCTAACCTGTTTCTTTCCACCACCGCGCCCAACAAATTGATCGACAGGCAGCATTACAAACGGCTCAGAAGGAAAAACTGATCGCATTCCTCTCACATTTCACCCTCAGAGCCACGCACTTAAATCTATCATTCTTAAATCTATCCTTCCGTCAATAACTTGGGCATGTGCCTGTGTCTTAACATTATGCTAATGCTCATGGTTATGTTTCTGCCTCTGTTTAATAGTATTGTAAAATTGATTGACATCGTTTTTTGGCTGAGAGATGACGATTTCAATAAAGACAAAATGTGTTTTTGCATTCATTTTTTATTATTCTATGTCAGTTTTACTGATACAGTCCAGTCCAGTACGTGGAATAATTATATTTTCTAACTGATTGAAAGACCAAGTTTGTATGGTAAAACTTGGCCACCCATTCAGCTTTAATTTGAGTGCCCCTGTCACAGAGAAATTTCTAGAGAAGGCACAATAATTACTGGCTGATGATGTCGAGTATTCATGCACATAACAGGTCTTGCAAAAGTTAATTCAAAAATAAGTTTTCGTGGTTTTTCTTTCAGGTATTGTGGTGCTTCTTCCGAAAGCAGCAAGTGTTACTGGTAAGTGTTGTAGTGCGTCAACTTACACGATTCTCGTCTTTGGCTTAAGTAAAAATTACGAGCACTTTTTATTGCCACTTTTACTTGGCATGTAAAAAAGGGCCAAGCAGAATACGAGAAAGTCGTCACAAAATTTGACTGTAATGAAATTAACCTTTCCATCACGGACGATGGGAAGCCCACAAATTTGGGCATGCTAAAGACGCTGGAGTAGTTCGTCGACCAGCAAGCAAGAAGGTGTTACTCCTACATCGTATATAATATACGCCCAGTCCCATCTCAACCCACCCAGCCGAAAAAATAATTCTTGCATGCTACGCATGCCTATGTTTAATATCGCTATTTCTGGACTCAACCAAAAGATTTGTTTTCTTCCGTCTAGAACAATAGAGATGAGAGGATAGAACTCTTGAGTTGGCCTTTTTCGATAACCTTGTTTATTTTCGACAGAAATAATCGGAGGATTAATATCGACTTAGGCGGCGGTTATTGTGTGATAACAGTCCGGTGATTCTCCACCACGTGACTTAGAATAGCCAATAAATTGCGCAAAAATCAATGAGTGGATTATGACCTTCAGGCCTCTGCTGTGCTCTGACAAACACTTAACGCTCGACGTGTCAATCATTCAAAATGCCAAAACTCTTCTTAGTGATAATCGTTGATGTATAGCCCTTTGCAAGGCATTGCGTAAAGTAACCTCGGATGTAACTCTTATTAGGGAAGGCGATGAGATATTGAAATCATTTCTCCATAGACAAGGAGCGAACTATTTAAATTAAAAAGCAATTAAAAAGTTTTCCCAACTTTTAAATGGCTGTCTCGCTAAGACCGGTCCTCTCGATTTCGCGAGATAAGAGGTTTTTTACTTAGGAAAACGCTTTGCGACCAATCATTAATAAGATGTTGCGTCAAATTTAGAACATTATCCACTGCTGTCAGTCGATGTGTGGCAAACTGTCGTTTCGTGGTGTAAATTTGGTAAATAATTTTATGTTTAGGGGTAGCTTCAAATGAAACATACAAAAATACTGACCTCTTGGTGTACTACATGAGTCGATCGATATTTACGCGGTTCAGTTGCTAACGATTCCGCTTCTTTGTAATATTTTCTCTGTAACAAATCAGAATCAAAGTCGCCAGGGAGATAGAGCCGATCAAAAAAGAATGTAACCTCACCGAAGTGGTGCTGCATCATTGTGGCTCCTATATCAAGATTATCCCATCTATAGACTGGATGTACAGTTAGGTTTTCTTTATACTACGCCGCCACCTCGATTGTCTCGATCATTCCTCACTGATATGAGGCCAGGGATTCTCATTCAATGATCTAAGACGTAATTATCTGTGATGAATCACTCTAATGCCAAGTAGAAGTCGACTACTTTGGCTGAGAAGGCTGTTTAACAGACCGTTTAGGCGTTTATTTAGGAACCATTTAAGTGGAACAATTTAAGATGGAAGTAGTGATCGTACTGGTCTAAGAAGAGACAGGGTGGAAAAATGCAATTGAAGTAGTGCAAACCCTGAAAGTTTTAAAATTCGCTCGGTTTGACTCTTTTGCATTTACGATGGTCTACAAGCGAATAGAGCATTTGCAAGCAAAATTTAGAGCCAGGATTGAGTGAGACAACTCTTTTAAGGACAGGTTGTTGGAACTTGTGCGTCGCATTGAAGTAATATGGCAGCCTCGAGAGAAGAAAGTGTTATCCTCTTGTAGTTACAAGATGGTGGCTTCACCTTTGGCACTGTGAGAAGGTTTTCTTCTGAGTCGAAGTATTAATATCGACCGTTGTCTTGATAGGCGGACAAACAGCTTTGCCGAATGCCTTGCTTCCCGCCGAAGGGTAAATAATTTAGTTCAGTGAGCGTTTCGAGAACAAGGCTTTTCAATATCTTTTTTTCAAAAAACACAGGTGGTACGGCGGCGGAATGTAAACTTGCTGAGCTAGTTGTTACAAAGAAGGGCGAAACCTATGCGACTATCATGTCATGGCTCAGGGCAAGAGTGTCCTTTGCACTGCTGAGATCAGCATTACTTTGATTAAGAGGCTTGCGAGCTTCTAGAGAAGTTCATTTAGAATTGTCGGACATTGATATGGATATTGAAAAAGGGAATGCAAATATTCGTTAAGGCATCGAGAACGCTATTTCTGGGGAACTCAAGCCAAAGCCGGGAATACTACTTTGTTTTTTCTTTTGTAACCCTTGATTTATCTTTGATCCATGGAAATAATAGCAAATGAAAACTTTTGTTTTCTTCATAAAGCATTTGTGCAAAGTATTGATACATTTATTATTATTAGTTTGTTACTAAATGATTTTTATGAAAAAGTATTTATTGGGTTGTAGAATTTTAGAAATGAAAATTGTTATTTGTAGTTATTAACAAGACAGTTTTGTATTGTACATGTTCAATTTTCAAGAACTTCCCTTAAAAGTTGATTTTCCTGATATAATATTTTTTAGTTTTAGTTGGGAAATAAAGATTATTGAAGATTATTAAAATTAAAAAAAGTATTATTATTATTGAGTAAAACCCTGCCATTTATTGGGACGTTTGCTCATACCGGATTTGCGAAGTTGCCTGGCTTGACCTAATTCCTAAGATAGTACATTTGCATATGCTAGTTTTTACTAGTTTACAAATTACTACTGGTCAACTTTTATGCCTACTTTACAGCTGTTCGTTTGATGAATTCTTATTTATCACATGCTGGTCGTGTTGAAGTGCTGTTCAGTGGTACATGGGGAACAATTTGTGGCGACTATTGGGACATCTCGGACGCTGATGTAGTTTGTCACCAGCTTGGATATGATGGAGCTTTACGAGCAGTTCGTAACGCAGCATTTGGACAAGGAACAGGCCAGATATGGTTGGATGACGTGCAATGTGTGGGAAATGAGCCATCAATATCACACTGCAGTCACTCAGGATTGGGAGTTCACAACTGTGGTCACTATAAGGACGCTGGCGTAGTTTGCCGACCTGCAGGTAATGTGATGATACACGCTCAAAATGAACAACTCAAAGCCAACAGATATTCTTTTTTTCGTAAACTCGTTTTTAGCCGTTTTTACAAAGTGATGCGTATAACGCTATTTTTAGTGAATCAATGCTAACTAAAGTGAATGTAAACCATCCATAACACACATAGATGTAAATCCCCGCTTACAAGCTATTCAGAACAATCTTTCTTTCAAAAATATTTCAAGGAGGTTCCTGTTATTTTGATACACATCATAATCCGTCGCTAGCTTTAATAGACCTTTATGTACTGGTTAAGCATCATTTCCAGCACAAAAACAGATCTTTTGACGGGCCCTCACATTGTTAAACAAGCTTGCTTATATTCTCACATTGACAACAGTTCGTTTGGTGAGCCCCACCAATTTACCGTTATCTGGTCGTGTTGAAGTGTTTTATAATGGTACATGGGGAACCATTTGTGATGACTTATGGGGCTCACAGGACGCTGAAGTAGTCTGTCGTCAGCTTGGATACGATGGAGCTTTATCAGCACCTGGAGCCGCAGCGTTTGGACAAGGAACTGGTCAGATATGGCTGGATAACGTTAGATGTTTTGGAAATGAGAAAACCATATCACAGTGCAGACACCAAGGATGGGGAGTTGAGAACTGTGGGCATAGTAAAGACGCTGGTGTTGTATGCCGACCCGGAGGTAAAGTAACGATACGAGTACTTTTTATTACCATCTTTAGCAAGTATTCAAGTGGACTAATCAGAATTAGAGAAAGCAGTTGCATATTCAACAGTAATTCAATTAAACTTTCCATCTCGCGATCTTATTTTACACTAACGGATAGCAAGTGGTACCATTTCCTGATTTTTTAAAGAGTACGACTGCGATCTTTAATGATGGCCCTTAATTAATTTTATTTAGGATGATTGATTTAAGGAATAAACTTTGCAAGAGCTGAGATGGCGTACATCAAGTAACTCTTTAAAAAACATTTAAATTAAGTATAAGCGCACAGTCATCACTGGGGACGGTAATGAGCTATGGTAAAGTATAGCTATGTAGTGTCTCTTGAGGCTGAAGGCTTTCTCATATCGCTATTAATCTGACTCTACCGTACGAATTGTTTTCTTCCGTCTAGAACAAAAGAGATGAGACCTTAAAACTCTTTAGCTGGCCCTTTTCAATGGCTTTGTTTCTTTTCGAAAGAAATAATCGGAAATTAAATATCGACGTAGACAGAGATTGTTGTGTGATGACAGTCAGGTGATTTTCCACCACGTGACTTAAAGTAGGCAGTAAAATCGCGCAAAAATTAATGGGTGGATTATGACCCTCAGCCCTCCGCTGTGCTCTGACAAACACTTAAAGCTCGACGTGTCAATCGTTCAAAATGCCAAATCTCGGTATGGCGGCTTACTTCTGTGGTGATAATCGTTCGTGTATAGCCCTTTGCAAGGCATTGTGTAAAGCAACCTTGGATGCAACTCTCATTAGGAAAGGCGATGAGATATTAAACGCATTTCTCCATAGACAAGGAGCGAACTATTTTCCCAACTTTTAAATGGCTGTCTCGCTAAGACCGGTCCTCTCGATTTCGCGAGATAAAAGGTTTCTTACTTAGGAAAACGCTTTGCGACAAATTATTAATAAGATGTTGCGTCATTAAATTTAGAACATTTTGTGGCATGCTGTCGTTTCGTGGTATAAAGTTGTTAAGCAATTTCATGTTAAGGTAGAGCTTCATATGAAACATACAAAAATACTGACCTCTTGGTGTACTACACGAGTCAAGTCGATGATCGATATTTACGCGGCTCAGTTGCTAACGATTCCGCTTCTTTGTAATATATTCTTTGTAACAAATCAGAATCAAAGTCGCCAGGGAGATAGAGCCGATCAGAAAAGAATGTAACCTCACAGAAGTGGTGCTGCATCATTGTGGCTCCTATATCAAGATTATCCCATCTATAGACTGGATGTACAGTTAGGTTTTCTTTATACTACGCCGCCACCTCGATTGTCTCGATCATTCCTCACTGATATGAGGCCAGGGATTCTCATTCAATGATCTAAGACGTAATTATCTGTGATGAATCACTCTAATGCCAAGTAGAAGTCGACTACTTTGGCTGAGAAGGCTGTTTAACAGACCGTTTAGGCGTTTATTTAGGAACCATTTAAGTGGAACAATTTAAGATGGAAGTAGTGATCGTACTGGTCTAAGAAAGACAGGGTGGAAAAATGCAATTGAAGTAGTGCAAACCCTGAAAGTTTTAAAATTCGCTCGGTTTGACTCTTTTGCATTTACGATGGTCTACAAGCGAATAGAGCATTTGCAAGCAAAATTTAGAGCCAGGATTGAGTGAGACAACTCTTTTAAGGACAGGTTGTTGGAACTTGTTCGTCGCATTGAAGTAATATGGCAGCCTCGAGAGAAGAAAGTGTTATCCTCTTGTAGTTACAAGATGGTGGCTTCACCCTTGGCACTGTGAGGCGGTTTTCTTGAATCGCTCAACAACAGTAAGAATCAAGGACGCAAATATTCAGGAAAAGATTAACAGGAAAAATCTGAGTCAAAGTATAAATATCGACTTTTGTCTTGATAGGCGGAGAAACAGCTTTGCCGAATGCCATGCTTCCCGTCGAAGGGTAAATAATTTTTGTGCGCGTTTCGAGAGAAAGACTCTTCAATGTCCTTTTTTAAAAAACACAGGTGGAACGGCGGTAGAATGTATATGATATCATGGTTTACTTGCTGAGCTAGTTGTTACAAAGAAGGGCGAAACCTATGCGACTACCATGTCATGGCTCAGGGCAAGAGTGTCCTTTGCACTGCTGAGATCAGCACTACTTTGATTAAGAGGCTTGCGAGCTTCTAGAGAAGTTCATTTAGAATTGTCGGACATTGATATGGATATTGAAAAAGGGAATGCAAATATTCGTTAAGGCATCGAGAACGCTATTTCTGGGGAACTCAAGCCAAAGCCAGGAATACTACTTTGTTTTTTCTTTTGTAACCCTTGATTTATCTTTGATCCATGGAAATAATAGCAAATGAAAACTTTTGTTTTCTACATAAAGCATTTGTGCAAAGTATTGATACATTTATTATTATTAGTTTGTTACTAAATGATTTTTATGAAAAAGTATTTATTGGGTTGTAGAATTTTAGAAATGAAAATTGTTATTTGTAGTTATTAACAAGACAGTTTTGTATTGTACATGTTCAATTTTCAAGAACTTCCCTTAAAAGTTGATTTTCCTGATATAATATTTTTTAGTTTTAGTTGGGAAATAAAGATTATTGAAGATTATTAAAATTAAAAAAAGTATTATTATTATTGAGTAAAACCCTGCCATTTATTGGGACGTTTGCTCATACCGGATTTGCGAAGTTGCCTGGCTTGACCTAATTCCTAAGATAGTACATTTGCATATGCTAGTTTTTACTAGCTTACTAATATAACTGCTGGTTAACTTTTATGTCTACCTTACAGCTGTTCGTTTGGTGAATTCTTATTCATCACGTGCTGGTCGTGTTGAAGTGCTATTCAGTGGTACATGGGGAACAATTTGTGGCGACTATTGGGACTTACAGGACGCTGATGTAGTTTGTCACCAGCTTGGATACGATGGAGCTTTACGAGTAGTTCGAAACGCAGCATTTGGACAAGGAACAGGCCAGATATGGTTGGATGACGTGCAATGTGTGGGAAATGAGACATCAATATCACACTGCAATCACTTAGGATTGGGAGTTCACAACTGTGGTCACTATCAGGACGCTGGCGTAGTTTGCCGACCTGCAGGTAATGTGGCGATACACGCTCAAAATGAACAGCCTAAAGCCAACATATTTTCTTTTCTATGTTTTACAAATTTTTAGCTGTTATTACAAAGTGATGCGTATAACGCTATTTTCAGTGAATCAATGCTAACTAAAGTGCATGTAAAGCCATCCATAACACACATAGATGTAAATCCCCGCTTACAAAGCTATTCAGAACAATCTTTCTTTCAAAAATATTTCAAGGAGGGTCCTGTTATTTTGATACACATCATAACCCGTCGCTAACTTTAATAGACCTTTATGAACTGGTTAAGCATCATTTCCAGCACAAAAACAGATCTTTTGACGGGCCCTCACATTGTTAAACAAGCTTGCTTATATTCTCACATTGACAACAGTTCGTTTGGTGAGCCCCACCAATTTACCGTTATCTGGTCGTGTTGAAGTGTTTTATAATGGTACATGGGGAACCATTTGTGATGACTTATGGGGCTCACAGGACGCTGAAGTAGTCTGTCGTCAGCTTGGATACGATGGAGCTTTATCAGCACCTGGAGCCACAGCGTTTGGACAAGGAACTGGTCAGATATGGCTGGATAACGTTAGATGTTTTGGAAATGAGAAAACCATATCACAGTGCAGACACCAAGGATGGGGAGTTGGGAACTGTGGGCATAGTAAAGACGCTGGTGTGGTATGCCGACCCAAAGGTAGAGTAAAGTAACGAGTACTTTTTATTTCCATCTCTTGCAAGCCTTAACGTGGACTAATCAGAATTAGAGAAAGATGTTGTATATTCGACAGTAATTCAATTAAACTTTCCATCTCGCGATCTTATTTACACCAACGGATAGCAAGTGGTGCCATTTCCTGAATTTTTAAAGCGTACGACTGCAATCTTTAATGATAGCCCTAAATTGTATTTAGGATGATTGACTTAAGAAATAAACTTTGCAAGTGCTGAGATGGTATACATGAAGAAGCTCTTTAAAAAACATTCAAATATTAAGTTTAAGCGCACAGTCATCACTGGGGTCGGTAATGAGCTATGGTAAAATGTAGATATAGAGATATATAGTGAGATACAGTCCTTTGCAACGCATTGCGTAAAGCAACCTCGGATGTAACTCTCATTAGGGAAGGCGATGAGATGCTGAGATCAATTCTCTATGAACAAAGAGCCAACTATTTTCCCAATTATTAAATGGCTGTCTCGCTAAGACTGGTCCTCTTGATTTCGAGAGTTAAAAGGTTTTTTACTCGGGAAAATGCTTTGCGAAAAATTATTTATAGGATGTTGCGTCTCTATTCCCCAAATTTAGGTCATTTCCCTCTGCTATTATTCACTGCGTGACATATTGTCGTCTTTAGGTATGAAGTTGCCAAAAATTTCGATGTTATGGTATTACTTCATATGAAACACACCAAAACACTGACCTCTTGGTGTACTAAACACTAGTCAAGTCGATGATTGATATTTACGCGGCTCAGTTGCCAAAGATTCCGCTTCTTTGTAAGATTTTCTTTGTAACAAATCAGAATCAAAGTCACCAGGGAAGGTCTGTAGATAGAGCCGATCAGAAAAGATTGTAATCTCACAGAAGTGGTGACGCATCATTGTGGTTCCTATATCAAGATTCTCCCAGCTATATACTGGATGTACAGTTAGGTTTTCTTTATACTACGCCGCCACCTCGATTGTCTCGATCATTCCTAACTGATATGAAGCCAGGGATTCTTATTCAATGATCTAAAATGTAATCACATGTGATGAATCACTTTAATGCCAAGTAGAAGGCTACTGCTTTGGCTAAAAACATTGTTTAACAGGCCGTTAAGGCGTTTATTTAAGACAGACAGGTCCTTGTCTTCTTGAGTCGAGTAATCTGCAGTTTATGAATCATGTGGAACCATTTAAAGATGGAAGTAATGGTTACACTAGTTCAATAAAGACAGGGAGGAAAATTCAAGTCAAGTAGTCCATACCCTAAAGATCTATAAATTCGCTTGGTTTGAATCCTTCGCATTTACGATGATCTACAAGCGAATAGAGCATTTGCAAGGATAATTTAGAGCCAGGATTGAGTGAGACAACTCTGCTTAGGTAAGGTTGTTGGAACGAGTTCGTTGAATTTATGGGCGAAATAAGGCAGCCTCGAGTGAAGAAAGTGTTATCCTCTTGTAATTACAAGATGGTGGCTTCAACCTCGCACTGCGAGTCAGTTTTCTTGTATCACTCGACAACAGTAAGAATAAAAGGACACAAAAATTCAGTAAAAGATAACCAGGAGAAATCTGAGTCGAAGTATAAGTTTCGACTGTCGTCTTGATAGGCAGACAAACAGCTTTGCCGAATACCATGTTTCCCGCCTTAGGGTAAATAATTTCCGTGAGCGTTTCGAGAAAAAGACTCTTCAATATCTCCTTTCAAAAAAACACAGGTTGAACGGCGGTGGAATGTAAATGATACCATTGTACACCTCCTGAGTTAGCTAGTTGCTACTAAAAGGGCGGAAGCTATGCGACTATCATGTTATGGTTCAGATTTTTCGTTTTATGCCTTTGATTTATCTTTTGTCCATGAAAATAAAAGCAAATGAAAACTTTTAGATAAAGCATTTATAGCAGAGGATTGATACATTTATTATTATTAGTTTGTTACTAAATGATTTTTATGAAAAATTACTTAATGGTTTGTAGAATTTTAGAAATGAAAATTATTATTTGTAGTTATTAACAAGACAGTTTTCTATTGTACATATTCAATTTTCAAGAAATACCCTTTAGAAGTTGATTTTCCTAATAGGATATTTTTTAGTTTTTATTGGTAAATAAAGATTATTGAAAATTATTGAAATTAAAGAAAGGTATTATTATATTATTCAGATAAATTCTGCGCTTTATTGAAAAGTTTGCCCATACCGGATTTGCAAAGCTGCCTGGCTTTACCCAATTTCTAAGATAGTAAATTTGCATATGCTAGTTCTTACTAGTTACTAATAATTACTGGTCAACTTTTATGTCTACTTTACAGCTGTTCGTTTGGTGAATTCTTATTTATCACATGCTGGTCGTGTTGAAGTGCTATACAGTGGTACATGGGGAACAATTTGTGGCGACTATTGGGACTTACAGGACGCTAATGTGGTTTGTAACCAGCTTGGATACGACAGAGCTTTACAAGCATTTCGTAACGCAGCATTTGGACGAGGAACAGGTCAGATATGGCTGGATGACGTGCAATGTGTGGGAAATGAACCATCAATATCACAATGCAGTCACTTAGGATTAGGTGTTCACAACTGTGGTCACTATAAGGACGCTGGCGTAGTTTGCCGACCTGCAGGTAATGTGATGATACACGCTCACAATGAACAGCTCAAAGCCAACAGATATTCTTTTTTTCTTAAACTCATTTTTAGTCGTTTTTACAGAGTGATCTGTATAACGCTATTTTCAGTGAATCAATGCTAACTAAAGTGCATGTAAAACCATCCATAACACACAAAGATGTAAATCCCCGCTTACAAGCTATTCAGAAAAATCTTTCTTTCAAAAATATATCAAGGTTCCTGTTATTTTGATACACATCATAATCCGTCGCTGACCTTAATAGACCTTTATAAACTGGTTAAGCATCATTTCCAGCTCAAAAACAGATCTTTTGACGAGCCCTCACAATGTTAAACAAGCTTTCTTATATTCTCACATTGACAACAGTTCGTTTGGTGAGCCCCACCAATTCGTTGTCGTCTGGTCGTGTTGAAGTGTTTTATAATGGTACATGGGGAACCATTTGCGACGACTCGTGGGACTTACAAGAAGCTGAAGTAGTTTGTCGCCAGCTTGGATACAATGGAGCTTCGTCAGCACCTGCTGATGCAGTATTTGGAGAAGGAACTGGTCCAATATGGTTGGATGACGTTAATTGTGAAGGAAATGAGACATTGATAACGCAGTGCAGCCATGGAGGATGGGGAGTTCATAACTGTGGTCATGGTAAAAATGCCGGCGTAGTGTGCCGCCAACTAAAAGGTTAGTTAGATTATGATCTTGCAAACAATTATTTTCCAATCCATTTAGTTCTCTAAATCTGATTCAATTTGCTTCTTGAAAGCTTGGCAACAAAGAACTTAAGGCATTCCATGGAAGCACGAGTTCAAACTCCCGCTAAAGTCTGATTAGTTCAGACTTAATTATTTCACTTTCAACAGCAGTTCACCTTTGATGATCATTTTGTTACCCGTGATTATCCGATGGTTGGGGTAAAACCTATCTATCAAGTATCCTATTTTTGAAAACGAACTCTTTCATTTTGCGGTCAGGGTCCTTTAACATTCGAAAGTTAAAAAACATACTTAGTTAAGTTGCTTTACTGTCTCTATATACAATTTTATGGTACTTGTTCTAAAAAACAACAACAGCAGCAAACAAAGGAGCGGAACATTTGAGTAACCAGCCGCTACAGGGCTCGCTGTCTAAACTGTAGCCTGTGTCTTTTTAATAACTTACATTTTGCTACAAAGTACTTGGCAAAACTCCGACCAACTTAGAACCAATCAGAACGCTTAGGTTAACCTCAGGACTACCTTCCCATATAGTAATTGCATTTATTTTTATGTGCGCGCGTTGGATATGAGATGGTAAATAGCCAAGAAGCACACATGGAACAGTTGCTCAGTAAATTTCATTAAATCCAGAACTTTTGAATATTTTTAGCAAAACTCTTCAACTTCCAACACGTCGCAATGCATTTCCGTATAGGCTGAATCGGAATATAAGCTGATAATCGAGGTTGTGTAAACCAATCAGAACACTACAAGTGCAACACTCAGAGTTGAAAATTTCATTATAACAAATATGGGTTATTTGCACTTTGATAAAAGTCTTGAAAATGCGGCTTCGGGCAGAATCTTCAAGTCCGAAGTTATTTTGGATACGGACCTACGAAAAACTAAATTTTTCGAAGAGGGATATCTGAATTCAATTTTGGTCACCTTAACAGCCCAGCATATGATGGACTTCCATTATAAATTTCATCGTCGTTTTCATGTAAAGTAACTCTAAGGCTATGAAACTAGAAATGAAAAAAAAAAACCGACATGTTACCCAGTTTCAAGTTCGCTTTTTATTGTCAGACTTCGATACGTTCCCATTCCAGTAAGATAACTCGGCATAATTTAGCAACGATACATGAGTCGTATGTAATTTGAGGCGTAATACATATGATAAAAGCTGAAAATTCCAGTCTACGAATCATTCTGAAATATCGCGAGAAAAACGGTCGATATTTTTCAAAATAGTAGTCACGAAATGTAGAGACTGTAATAAGTTCCTTGAGAGAGACGTAAAAAATATTTTTCTCTATGTACACATTAACCACAGTCCGTTTGGTGAATCCCGACAATTCGCTGTTGCTTGGACGTGTTGAAGTCCAGTTTCATGGAACATGGGGAACAATTTGTGATAATCACTGGGACCTAAAGGATGCTGATGTGGTTTGTCGCCAACTGGGATACGATGGAGCCTTGTCAGCCCTTAGAGATGCAGCATTTGGACAAGGAACAGGCCCGATATGGCTGAATAGTGTACAGTGTGGAGGATCTGAGAAATCAGTCTCACAATGCGCGCACGCAGGATGGGGAGGCCATAGCTGTAGGCATTACGATGATGTTAGTGTGGTGTGCCGCCAGATTAAAGGTAAATTCGATGATGTACGCGCTCTTATCTTAATGATCTTATTTCTTTCTACTCCATGGTAAGGATACTGAAAATGTTAAAAATGCAGCATTTTTTCCTCTTAAATGTTATTAACATCTACATAATTTAAAAATTCTACGCCTTGCTATTCCTCGTAAGGCTACGTAACGCGTAGGGACTTTCATCTACATTTGGGTGACCCGTTATGTATAGGGTTGGCAGCAAATATTGTCATTTTCTTTTGTTTACTACTTTATCTACACACGAATATGTAGATAAAAAGTCAGGCATTGGGTTTTAAGAGGGAGCAAAATAATAGATATTTTCTTGGAGGGAGTCAGGATTACAAAAGGTTGTAAAGATGATTTCTTTTTTGTGCACTCTTTTTGATGTCGAGAATTGATGCAGTATCAGACCATGTGTCTCAAATTAATCTTTTTAATGACTAAGGAGACGACCACGACCAGGGTTTGACACCTGTTAGTCTTCTTCCCTTTCATTTCTTTTATTTTTTTCTTCTTCTGTTTAATTTTCTCAATTCTTCTGTTTCAATCATTATAACATCTATTCTTTGAGGAACTTGCACACATGACCGACGCAGTGTTTATTTAGGGATATATTATGATGTTGGTGTTAACTGGCAAGAAACTAAGAACATCGTCATATTACGCAAAGGAATGGACTCCTCATCTAAATGTATTAATATACATGTAGTTTTTTAGTTCTTAATATCTGGCATAAGCAGAATCAGCAGGTTCTAGGTCTCGTCTTTTATCAGTTCAGTAGATTTGATTAAAGAAAAATAACTTTAAAAATGCAAATACAATCAGGGCAGATTCAATTTTATTCTTCAATACTTGCTTGCACAGTTTGCTTAAAGGCAAGAGAAGGTAATCATTTTCATGTCCAAAAAGGCTTTGATATTGAGGTTCACCTTTTTTGTTCCCAGATGCACCATCAGCCACCCAGGCAAGCACAGTCATCGAATTGGAGTTAGGAGAAGATAGGTCTATTGGTTGCCCTGTGGACATTGGAAACCCCCCAGCTGTTATCACGTGGTACAAAGGGAATGATACCAGCGGCAGAAAAATGACTAACTGCTCAACTCTTGAGGTTCAGAATTTTGCTTCTAGTGACGAAGGATGGTATATCTGTTTTGCGAAAAATGAATTGGGAAATGCAACCGTCCGGTTTTTACTAGTTGTTGGTAAGTTAAAGTAAGATTACTGATAAATATAAACCACTATCGCATCTGGGGCCGACGTAAGTCAGCAACATTGTCAGCAAAGTCGTTGGCAAAATACAAGGTTTAAGCAAATTCTAGTGGTATTTATTTTTTTTATTGACATGTTAGAGTTCTCTTTCCTCCGACATACTATTTAGCAGAAGGAAACATAACAAAGGAATTTTTTTAACCCTGTAAGAGGGACTGATGCGTATTAATCTGAAGAACTTTTGAAAAAGCTAGAATGCTATAACGCTTATTAATTTACAAGGGAAGAAAATTTACGCACATACAAGCATAAATCCATAATTGCACTAAACATTAGTCACATTGTTTCAAACTTGACATTAAACAGTCCACGACCATCGATTTCTTGGAAACAAGTTGACTTAATTTTGCCTTTGATTCTTGTGCTCCTCAGCTTAACATTTGAAGATAAATGCTGTTCTTGGATTTCACAGACAATTTTGCATCACCATTGTTCTTACACTTTTGTGTGGCTTTCAATGATTACACTAGTCCTAGAACATTATCACGTAATGCAGGACCACCTTTAAAACTGCTTCTGTGATTGGAGCTTCCCGCTGAAATGACGCATTTATCATCAATTGGTTCGTAACAATAATAGATCAATTAATTAATTAAAAAATGTCTCGTTTTCAACGTCATTTTTCTCCAGTTAAACCAGCATCAAGTACAGTTACTACATCATCCCAAACAACTCCCACAGGTGATTGTTTTTCTTTGTTATACTGAGAAAATTGGCGATCGTATTTCGATGTTATGAACTGAAGCAAGTACAACATGATAGGCGGTCGGGGGCTACTCTGTTAGACTGTAGACCTCGTGCAAATTATATCAGAGGTTTGGTATCTTAGTTGAGGCAATCGTTTGCAAAGTTTTATGCCAGTAACAGCTTCGTGTCAAAATTACAAACCTTTTTTACTTTATTTTACCTTTCCTTATTGTCGACTTTGCTTCCTCTCTTTGATCTCTAGTTTGACAGGAGATAGTTCATAAAACACGTTGCATTGTTTTTTTGCCTTTTACCTTCACGGGACTCCAAGAAAACCATAATTACCAAAGTAGGAAGTATTCGCTTTATTTGCATCAGAAACTTATTTAAAATTTGGTTTGATGGAGACTTTTCGTTTTCTGATATTCGATGTCTTCAAATAAAAATCGATCAATCTATTTTTTATATTCAGAATTTTGTATCGGGGTATCCTACTTTAGCATCCGTTCAGGATTTAGTCGCACTCCTACTTGAGCATGTGAAAAGTTTCCAAATCAAATCTTACAATATGATGATAAATGTGAATTGTTTTTATCTTAATGAATCCTCATACTACAGAATACACGTGAAAGGCCTCGTATTAAAAATTACAAGTGGAAGGGCAAGTCTTCTCTCGAGACTATTAACATACTCTGTCGGAACGACTTTTTCACCGGGATTGTTTGAAAACTTTTTATATGTCCACAGTTTAAACCATTTCTAAGTCGTAGCACTGCATAAAGGGCATTTATTCTTTTAGGAATTCTAATAGAATACGGCTATTTTTAAGTTTCAGAAGGCTCAGAAGTTTTCCTGACAGCAACAGTACAGGAGAGCTGTGATAGACGTTTAGAAGTTGCTGCAGAATTCCCAGATGTGGTGCGATAATTTGCTTGATCAATATCATCATATTTATGGGATACTAATTAACAATTCATCTTGTTGACCACTGACCATTGCTTGTTAACCTCTTTGTTCGTTAAATGAAGTCATTATTTTACTTGCAATATACTTCAGCAACACAACAAGAATTGTTATAGGAGTTGTAATAGCATCGAAGCGCGGAATCCGAAGATCTGGGGTTCGATTCCTCATGGGGACTCAAAATTTTTTCCTTTGTCCCACGCTCCTGACTAAACGAAAAAACATCTTTCTTTAAGAATTGCAATATACGATTTTTTGTCGCATACATAGATTAATATTTTCACTTGTCCATCTAGGCTTGTGAAATTGTCTTGAAGTTTGGCTGCTTATCCGCAAACACTGTGAACACCAGGTAAAGTACAGCTTTTTTCTCAAATCAAACCAGCTTGCGCAATTTTTTGTTCAAGGGGGATCTTTAGCTCAAATAGGCGAATTTCTGCATTAAACCTGTTTTCCTGCTCAAGTAAGTCTTAGTTAATACTTACCAACGAACCATTTTCTTGATTTCGACATCGATCGACTTTGAATGAATTTTAATTCAGCCTGGCTTAATGCACGTTCATACCTATGGCCTATGTGGCTTATGTCACTGAAGTACAAATTATTTTAAGTCGCTTTTGACTTTCTGGTCCTTTGATGTACACTTTTCTATCTAGGTGTGGCAGTGTTGTTCTGGACTTCATGATGAGGTTCGATCAGAGTGTAGTAGTCAGCCATGTTGTGACTTCTCTGTCGGATGCTGCAAGGGAAGACAGATTCGGTGATTTTAAAGTTGATCCAGACTCAATAAAACAAGTTTTGACATCCACAGATGGATTTGGAATTGCAGCCAAAGGTACATGTTACAAAGAAACTGTTTCAGACCATATTAGAAAAGAAGGGGTAACACTCTGTTTTGTTTTTGTATCTAGATAGTCACAGGGCGCATTCTTTCGTTTACAAGCCTGAGCCATGTCATTAGAGCAGTATTTTTTGCCAGGATTAAAGTAAAACCTTGCTCGATTGTAACCTAAACCTCACTAAACCAATCAATTTAGGTCCTGAAGAGTGCAAGTCCTCAAGTAACGTCATGTTAGCAGCGCTTATTGGTATTCCTGCCTTCATAATTCTTCTTCTGATAATTTACATAATCTGGCTACACAGGAGAGGTGAGTAACAATTTCATTACTCACGTTAGAGCGGTGGGGCAGGATCCGTCATGAAGCAAGACAAAATTATTTTACCTCCACCCAAAGAATTCTAATTTTTTTTCTTTTTCCTCCTCCTTAGGCGCTGAAGAGAAAAAAAAAGTAAGAATTTGCTCTTACGCGGAATGGTTTGAGATTATTCTTCAGATATAATATCATTCTAAAATAAAATGAAAAAACTGACAAAGGTCCTTTCATAAATATCTGCATATTAGCGCTGTAATAGCTGCCGTGAACTTTGAGCTCTTGCGAATTTCCTACTTCGTCCTTTTTTTTAAACAGCCTTTCGTTACCTGACCATTTATACTAGGACTTACGAGTGTTTAAGATCCTACTAACCTCTGCTTTCTTCTCGGTACTAAGATCCAAGGAATAAACCATGGTTATAATTTCACACTGTTGTCTGCTATTACTCGAGAAACAAAGAATGGAAATATTGTTTTCTCGCTTCTTTACCTACCTTTTGGAGTAGATATAAACTTCTTATTAACCTAGCGTGAGGGAATATTGGAGATTATTGGCCCGAGGTCGTAGCATTACGTACTTACAAAAACAAGGGCCAATATTCTCCAGTACGGCTCGAGCGCGTGAGGTAAGTAAAAAAGAATAATACATGGCGCGCGTAGATATGGATTTCTCTTCGAGTTGAACACGAGAAGAGAAATTTCATATCTAAAAGTAACCATGTATTATTTTGTTTGTCATATAAAAAATTTTAAATTTTAAATTTTATCAATGAATGAAGATAGAGGGATCGAAAATCCCAAATAGAAATCGTACAGTGCGTTGGCGCTAAGGCTCAGGATGAACAAAATGCATTGAAACAATACAAAACCAAACGATGGGCGTAATTTTCAAAATACAAAACTCTCAGCTATTGACTTAAAAAAATACGATATTTTTTCACGTGTGTTGTTACGGCTTTGCTCATGGCTGGAAATCGTTCTAGGACACCGTAGTTTATACTATAAAGTAGTTTATGAGTTTAAAATACGATATTTTTCATGATGTTTAATATCGTCAATCAGCTGCTGACACATCACTCGTCTTTCGCGCCATTCGGTCGGGCTGATGAATGAACGGCAAAGCCTTCACAATTTTCAATCTTAAGTCGTTTGTCGGAATCTTTTCGGATTATTGCTGTTAAAAAAACTGTAAAAACCGTATCGCTTACAGACAGTGACGTTTAAACTTTCCTAGAAGGGAAAGAGAACCAAAATAGGAAAAAAAACCCCGAAATTTACGTATTCAGTGGCTTTGGTGATGGCATTTCCCGCGCCTGAGAACGAAACTCGGAAGATTTGCCACAGGCCGATTTTGGCCGCGTACCTGAAAAATTTCTTCATTCGGTAAGGACCAATTCAATAACTGAGAATCTTTTATGTTAAAAATTAAGCCTATCGTTTATTTTTGTAGTGATTTCATCTTCATGTTTTCATCTTGAGTGTGCCAACGCACTCTACGATTTTTATTCCAGGATTGTCGATCCTTTTATTTTCATTCATTAATAAAGTCTTGACAGTAAAGGGCTATTTTATAAGTTCTTTATTCACTATCATTAGTATTACTATTAGTATTAGTATTAGTATTTATTATTATTATGATTTTATTTTCCTTTATAGTAGGACTTATGAAGAAGAAAGAAGTGTTTACGACGTAAGTTACAGCTAAGACATTAAAGTTGCATCGGTGCGAGGAGAAAGTGTGTAGATCTTACTTTTATTGTGCTGCATTCACGAAACATTCGCAATCTTTGAAAGAAGAGAAAAAGGATTTTACTGCATTTAAAATAGGTGACATATGCACTTTGTCGTGGAACCAGGTCAAGCCACTCGCTGAATTTGTTCTCGGTTGTTCCAAGTTTAACGCATTGATTTATCCAAACGTCTGCTTTCGGTTGAGATTTGTTTTTCAAATAATTCTTCAAATAATTCCAGAAATCTCGATCAATCTGTTGAACATGATCCTTTTCAAAAGCAACATGCTTTTTATTAATTTTTTAGTTTTAACAAAGAAAGAATATAAACATAAGTCTGAAGAAAATGCGTAAACTGTTTTTGCTTAGTATGGCCTGTTGAGATTTATTAGAGACTTAAACCATTTATCAAGCAGTTGAACGGGTACATTGATTTGATAGAATGAGGTGACACTGCAAGATATCGAACCAAGTCAGTGCCATTCAAGCGCAGCCATGCAGCCTTCTTCGGGGTACATGGATCTCAAAGAACCCAGGAAAGATAATAGCAAAGCACAAAGTACAAGTTCAGGTTACGAGCCTCCTCGTCCAGCAAAACGCTCCTGGGAAGTTCCAAGACATCACGTTACCATCGAAAAAGTCATTTGTAAAAGTGCTTTTGGTCAGGTGGCCAAGGGAACGGCAGTAGGACTTCAAGGGAGGTCTGATACGACTACAGTGGCTATTAAGATGCTTAAATGTGAGTCATGTACTGATTTAAGAACATTTCTTACCGAATTTTTTTTTTGTGTGTGTTTTTTGCTTTGCATAGCATTAACATTTGCTTTTAACTCTCTAGCTAACGCCGCTGAATCGTACAAAAGGGAATTGATGAAAGAACTTGAAACGATGAAGAAGCTTGAAAGACATCCTCACATCATCAAACTTTTGGGATGTGTTACAGAATCTGGTATGTTTTGGTTGCGAACGTTTTTTATGCCATACGCATTTTCCTTGTAAATTTATAAAAAAAAAAAAAAAAAGAGCTATTTCGTCAATAACAATTGGCTTCAGTTGTTAGGAAAAGGCTTTTTTCTTTGTTTTCAGAGGAACTCCTGGTACTGATTGAATATGTCCCTTTTGGAGATCTGCTTGGTTACCTGAGAAAGAGCCGTGGATTAAATGACACTTACTACAAAGACCCGGATATCAAACCACGAACAAATCTGACGTCACAGCAGTTGATGAAGTTTGCCTGGCAAATCGCTGATGGCATGAGTTACCTGTCCTCAAAATCTGTAAGTTAATTAACAAAGACAAAGACGTAATTTGATTCTAAAAATTCCTTGTCGGGCGTACCGTTATGGCAAGTTTTTCTTTCCAACAGATTATTTCATATCTTGCAAATATATTCTTATCGTTTAGTCAAGGGCCTTTCTGCAGGGTGCACCCTCCTATTTTCAAAGGCATCGCTCATGCTTTTTTGGTATTAGAATAATTTTTTTTTTATTTGCGGTTGGCAATCGTCGTGCAGCCTCGCAGATGTACTTCACCCTCGACTTATTGTGGTCTCATCGACTCCTATAAAGTTTTCAATTGTCAACAGTTTTATTACTGATAATCGAAAGAAAATTTTCTCCTTTTCTCTCGGAAACTGTAACAGTACTAATGCATTTTAATTTATTATCATTTGGGCTTATAAAAAATATGCACGCTGTTGATTTCGCTAGACATGGCTATTTTCAGATCTGAAACTTTTTCAGTTATTTTCTTCTTTTAATCACTGATCTTCGCTTCTCTCACAATCCATTCCTTTAGATCATCCACCGAGACCTTGCAGCCCGTAATGTGTTGGTTGGACAAAACGAAACGTGTAAGGTGACAGACTTTGGAATGGCCAGAGATGTGCAACAGGAAAATATTTATGAACGAAAAACAAAGGTAATGCAAAAATTGGGGAGGGAGAGGGGGTGTTACTCAGTTACATGACATTTAGTATAATCACGTACACGATAATTTTGGTGGTAGAGGTGACATGTTCATGGTTTCGATCATGAAATCTGTGGATTGGGACTGATAAAGAAATAATGGATACTTAGAGAGTACTATTTCATCTATAACTGTCGTTGATTTCGCGATTACCATTATTTTTGTTCTGTTTCACAAATCTATAGGGTCGCCTCCCACTGAAGTGGACAGCTTATGAGGCGTTGCTGTATGGTACCTATACCACCAAAAGTGACGTGTAAGTATACCTGATCATAATTCTTAATTACTAAACAAGTGGTTCATGCTTAGTGTGCGTACACAGAGGTATAGATTAATATGGATGTTTGTGGGAAGTTTGGAGAGCACAAGAGAAGCGTAAGAGTTCCTTTAAGAGCAGCCGACAGCAATTCTTACTTCTTGAGTGCTTCCCAGACTTTCCAAGTGCGTCCACAACTCAATATACGCACAGTTATAGGCATTAACCAATTGCTGTACGACGTAGCAGACACAATTTGTCCAAGTTATAATAATCGTGTGCTAACCGAAAACTATAAATAAAAAGTAGGTAAAAATGACTAGAAGTATTTCGAGTTCAAAACTTTACTCAAAGAAGTGCTAAATATGTTGTTTAGGAGCGAAGAATGTGTTAATTTCTTGCACTTACCAGACCCACAAAGTGTTAAGAATTCTATCGAGGATTGTAACGAAATGCTATCGAAAATACTAATTTCCGATCCGAAGAAGGGTCCAAAATTCGCAAGGCTTCATTTGAAGTCAGCAAGTTCAGTTTCCTTTTTCCAGCCATTATTCGTATCGTGTCTGGGAATCGAAGTATCGTCAACTCTAAAGCTGATTTCGTCGCCTTTAGAGTTAGATGTCCATTCAGTTTCCGAATCTAGTGATATTTGGCATACTTACTTTTCACTTTGTGCCTCAAATTCAATCTTAAAAACGATTGAAATCCATATTGATGACTCAATAGCTAGGAATAAGATGAAAGAAGCGCGCGCTAACTTATAAAGTTCCCTCCTGTAAATGTTACCACTGTCAATAAGGATTAAAACGTTTGTCAAAAAATATTGCTTTGTCTTACACAATGTTTATGTCTCCAGCCAGCCATTTTACTCATGTTTTCTTTGCTTTCCTGCAGATGGAGTTATGGAGTTGTCCTTTACGAGATTTTCACCATAGGTAACATCTGATGGAAATTTAAGAGACTTCGAAGAGATTTTTTGTCCTACACTTATTTGTGCTCATCCATTTATTTAAAATATCCACATGTTTACGGTACTAAACTTGAGCAGGGAAAATTACTTCAAGAAAAATAAACTCACAATAAAGGAAAAAAATTTATGTGCAGAGCTATACAGGGCATTAAAAAACAACGGGTCTGTTTCTAAAAAGTGGACATAAACGCACAGGACTAAATTTATCCACAAAATTTGACAGATTATTCGACATAGGTTACGTAACATTATGCAACGACATAAATATCAACAACAGGTACACAATTCAACAAAAGAAACGTACAAGCACTCACAGGTAATTAACACGCAAACACAAAACACACGGAAAACGGTAGGACAGCAGGTTCTGCGAAGAACAATGCATTCTGTTCAGGCAGACAAACTCCCTATGCAAATTCATGCTCCATCAAATGATATAGGTGGTGCTTTCAGTGATGGTCCGATTGTCTTGTTGATCTCTTTCAGGTGGTTCACCTTACCCAAGAATGGATGGGAAAAAAATTGCCAACTTACTTGAGGAGGGATACAGAATGCCTAAACCACAACACGTGGATGATGAATTGTAAGCTTTTAATTAAGTCTTCCTCCTTCCTTGCAACAGGAAATATTCTATAAACTCTTTCACATCAACTGATGTTTGATGTTCGCAAGATGAAATAATATCGTATTCCATATAAAAAATTCTAGGTATCAGATCATGATGACATGCTGGCAAAATGACCCGGATGAAAGACCAGCTTTCACTGAATTAAAAAGACAGCTTAAAGACATGGAAAGTCTACACAAGGTGAGAATTCTGGTGGACATGGCAACTTTCTTTTGCGCTGGAGTCTCTTTAAATTCATACAGCTTGTCATTCAGATGGCCTAATGATATGTAGTCATCTCTTCCAATGTGTGCTAAGTTTGGATTGCTTCTTCCCGTTGTTTCCTTGAAGCAAACAAACTAGCGGTTTTTATCGGTTATTATCGGTAAACGAGAAGCAAAATCAAATTTTCCAATAACTTTTTATATAAAAGATGATAAGAGTATTGCAAAATTGCACTGAGATGCAAAAAAAAAATTGTGAATGATAACGTCTTGTAATTCTGAAAAACTACTACTACCTGACAGTTCGTGTGGATAACTCATGATTTAACGTAAAGGGGGAACACATTCACTTTTATAATGCTATTGCTTTCTTTTTCTCTTTAGAGGCTGATCGACATGAGAATGTACGACAAGAAGTTGTATGCAAACGTCGAGGATTTAATAGTGTAGTTAGGTACACGTCCTCAGTGTTTGATTGGCGAACTGTTTGAACATTTTTCCGCGACAAGTCTTATGGAATGACCATCTTCGCCTTAAGCGCTTACTTTGTTAGGGAGTATCACTTATCGGTCAGGTAACACAATTAATTCTAATCAAGTTTCATTTTCCTTAACAGTGAACCTTTACTACGTAGAAGTTTTCGTATTCATAGTCAAATATACTGAAATTTTGCTGTTTAGCATCTTAACTACATGCACGCTTGCTTGATAGAACTGAAAAATTTTGTTTCATCAGACATCAGGCCTGGTGTGTTTTAGTATCAATCTATTCTAGCTTTATCTTCCAATAAAGAATCTCATCAGACTGATGGGATTCTACTCTGAATGACTTGGTTGGGTAAAATGTCATCATACGCCCATGTTAATTCAGATAATTCTGCGTTAAAAATGTAATTCAATATCACAGAGCGTTTGGAGAAGAATAAAGTCGTACCAGCGAACACTGAAAAATAACATCCTGCTCATTAAATGTTAAGCTGATCGAGGACATTTTGTCCCGCCTGCTGCAAAGTATTTTAAGCATAGTAAATACAGCTCAAAAATGTTCTTTTCTCGGATGATGTCCGCGGGAGAATATCTGAGCATAATTTTGTGCTAAATAGAGGCTACGGCACATATGTCATAAGGCTGGAAGAAATGAACGAGAAGGTGCCCATTAGTTGAACTCCTCAAAGCATGTTTAAAACAGTATATTTATGAGTAAAAACATTATTTCGAGTGAAATTTAGTGTTAATAAGCACGAGTAAATCTCACTCATGTTTGAAAAGATAACGAAATGGCGTGAGCCCGTAGGGCGAGTGCAACTTGCAGTCTTTAAAAAAAATTACGCCAAATTGCAAGAGAAATCATGTTGTTCCTTATTAATAATTTAAATGAAAAAGGCATCACAGAAAGTCAAGACAAACGAAATTTTGACGGCGCGCACTTTATCAGATGCGCACCCAAAGGCCTTCTAACCATGGCCTTGGGAATACGTCACACATCTCTATATTCTGTAAGGATGGGCGTACATCGGTGGATTGATGGAATAACTTCCCTCAGGCTTGATTAAACTCACGATGTAGCCCTCTCTCGTTTGTAACGGAACTGCCTGGAAGAAGGTAGCTAAAAATTGATATGAAAGGCTGAAGGAAAAGTCATTTAAAAGACGTGATTCCTGCTAAGAAACGAAGAACGCATTGGTGGAATGAGACATTTGAACAGTTATCTTCTTTCTATTGGGAGCCATTTGTGCCAAAAAAATCAATCGCTAGAGCTAAAATATCAATCGCGAGTGACAAATTCAATCGTTGGTGCTAAATATCAATCACTGGTGATAAAAATCGATCCTTAGTGCTAAAATTTTAATTGCTGGTGATAAAACTCAATCGTTAGTGCTAAAGTATCAACCGCTAGTGATAAAACCCAATCGCTAGTGCTAAAATATCAATCGCTGGTGATAAAACTCAATCGTTAGTTGAGCAAAGTTGTACTAAAACAACTTTGCATTACAGTGTATTCGGCTGATATGAAAGGCTGAAGGAAAAGTCAGTTAAAAGAAGTGATTCCTGCTATGAAACGAAGAACACATTGGTGGAATGAGACATTTGAACAGTTATCTTCTTTCTATGGGAAGCCATTTGTGCCAAAAAAAATCAATTGGTAGTGATATAACTCAACCGTTAGTGCTAAAATATAAATCGCTAGTGATAAAACTCAATCGTTAGTGCTAAAATATCAATCTCTAGTGATAAAACTCAATCGTTAGTGCTAAAATATCAATCGCTAGTGATAGAACTCAATCGTTAGTTGAGCAAAGTTGTACTGAAACAACTTTGCGATACAGTGCACTCGGGCTTCTCCATCATCAACTTTGACGCGATAGAAATATTGCACTTCTCATCTAATTGTTGAATACAACAATTTGCAAATTAATTTTTTTCTTCCTTTTGCTTCAGAGTTTGAAGTGAATGTGGTAATAGTTCTTCAAGATGATCATCTCATGACAGAAAACTTTCCGATTTAAATTATGAGATTTGAAAATAATGGTGTATGATTCCTAGAAAGGAAAGATTCTTGCGAAGAGACTCCTTTAGAAATCATTAAAGGAATGCTTTTACAATTCAGAAAGTCTTGTAAAGGATTTGAACAAAACGATGTATGTCTTTAATACGAAAAGAAGTAGTTCTGACTTTCTGTTGAAAATGTGAACAATGGAGAGCTGTATTAAAATTTTTTATATTTTTTTTAAAAATGAGACGATAATAAACGAAAAAGAATTCTGTTGTAGAGTGTAAACTGACTCCTTTTATTTTATGTTCCCTCAGAAACAAGCCTGATTTCCTCGAACGAATAAAATTACACAATACTCAAACACACGACATACGCGAAGGTCTTAAAAGAATAAGAACGTAGTATCGTAGTTTTTTCCATAAGGTCTGTATCTCATTTCTTCCTTTTCTCTTCCTTCATCAAGCCTGGATGGCGAGTGGACTCTGAAACTGGCTGTAAGGAGACCTCCATTTGTCTATGTATGGGCAACGACCCCAAAAATGGACAATTTCTTTTTCTCATTCGCAGTGACAAATTGTGCCATACATTGCTGAAAGTTCACATCCCTGCCCTTTATTTTGGTATGTGTTAGCAATGTTATTGCTTAAACGACGTGGAAAAAAAGAAAACTATTAATGATGAAGTGAAGTGAAGTCTCTAATAGACCATGAGATAAAAGACATATCCTATGTTACATAAACGAGAAACTTTGTAATGATAATTACAATAATATAATATGGCCAAAATTAAATTATATAATTATAACAGGTTGTGTTCAAAAATTAGTCTGTTCACAAATGTGTTCATGAAACGTTGTGTTAATCTTTGGGCGGAGGGAAACCTTGCGACGTAAATTATATTGCTGGGGTTTAGGCTTCGGCAGAATTTCAGTTAACTGATGATGGCTTAGGGCCCTAGCTCCACTGAATAATTTCTTATCCTGCATTTGCATGATATCCTTGACATTCAATGGAACTGAAATATAACGCCGCTTGTAACATCTGTTTAAAAAGTTCTGTTCTGTGTTTAGATCGCGTTCTTACGCACCATACACTGAAAGGCCATAAGTTAAATTAGGTGGTACAATTGTCTTAAAAAGGAGATTTTTTATTTAATTCTGGTCATATTGTTCCTTTCTCAGAGTTCTTAATATATGGAGGCACTCGTTATCCTTAATTAGTTTGACCTTAACATGATAACTAAACCTGAAGTGTGACTTCGAGTAAGCACAATTCATGATGTTGTTGAATACAATTAACTGGATTATAGGTGTCCTTGTTCGATTTCTTTCTAATTACAAGCTCTTTGCATTGACTAGGATTACATGACATACTCTCGCGACCAATTTAAAAACTCATTCACTAAGGTTACAGAGGTATCAGTTTTGCCTAGTACTGGTGCAACAATTGTTGAATCATCAGCATATTTGAATAACGCAGGGAAGCCATCATATGTAATTTCAAGATCGTTAAGAAAAATATTAAAGAGATGGGGGCCACTAACACTACCTTGTGTAGTGCCCTTATTGACGGCTTTCCACCTACAGTGATAGTTACCAGACAAAAAATGCGTTGCTGCCTACCGGATAAAAAACTGTGATACCAATTAACAAGATATGGAGATACATGTTCAAGTGTAGTCACATACCTCGAGTTCGCCTGACAGTTTGTTATTTTGAGTTCATCACGCGGTATTAAAGAGGCGTTAGAGGGATTATAGTACAACGCCTCAGTTTTGACTTACGTTCCATGAGAGCATTCACTTTCTCGCACCATGGTAAGATTCACCAGGCAAGTATCTCCTTTCCTAGGGACAGTTTCCGTTTCGCGTGGGGGGAATAACCATCTTATAATTGCCTTTAGTTGCCCCTATCAGAGTTTACCCGGCGATGTATCTTGGAAAGGAGATTCAATCAGTCTCTTTGGAGTACTTATTGTACGGCGATGAATTGTTAACTTGTGTCAAAATTGAATTTTTAAACTAAAACTCGAAACGTAAATCGAGCTGAGCGCTTTGAGCGCTTTGAGCGCTTTTGAGCGCTTTGAAAGCAGTCGGTGGGTGTTTCGGAAAACCGTTTCAAGCATCCGTAAATCTACATCATTACATCATTACAAAGAGAATTGATTTGCATATCTTAAAGACGTTCGTTATATCGAGGGATGGTTAATTTTTTTTGTGGTATGACATCGTACTACCCAGAATTTTGGAATTGGAAGGATCACTGTAAATAACATTTGTGCTTTAATTTCTTTATGAAGCTACAGTACGCTGTAAAGGTCTCTACATAGCTACAGCACCTTTTTTTTTTAACCTTTTAACTCCCAGAAGTGATCAGCATGTGACTTCTCCCCATAATATCCATACTTTAACCTGAACACAGGTAATAAGAATACTCAAACCAATCATCTTGATCCAACACAAATTCTCGTAAGTAACTGACAAGGAGATGTATTGCGACTAGATGGGAGAATCAACAATCAGATCTTGAGACTTAAAGGGTTAAAGCACGGAGGACAATTGTCGACAGTGTCAGTTTCAGCATTTATAATGAGCTGTTAACTGTGAAGTTGTTCTATTACAGAATTGAAGAATTTTGATTCTTGTTGATCTGGCTTTTGTCAATTGTTGACATAGCCTCGTTATATCGGGGTATATTATACGTCTGGACTTCTCGATAGTGTTCGTTATAACGAGGATTCCATCATATCGAGGCTCGTTGTATCGAGGTTCTTTCCCATACATTTTACTGTAACTTTGGCCAGGCTGAAAAGTATCGTTCGTTATATCCTGGACTTCGTTATATAGAGGTTCGTTAAATCGAGGTTCCACTGTAATTGAGACCATTTGTAAAGGAACTATTGTGGACGGCGAAGCTGATTACTCATCAGGATCTTTAAAGTATTTGGAATGAAGCTTGGAGCGTTCATGTTTCTTCTTGGAAGTAAGCACTTTTCGATTTGATAAGTTAATATTTAGACGTTTATTTAGATAAACTAATTTGTAGTTCGAGAGTATGGCATGATGATCGATGAGGGCGAAGCCAGAATCTGATATCGCGCGATAAATGTTAATAGCGAAAAATCGAACTGTTCTAGTTTAAAATCTACCACACTTTCAATTTTATGAGCAAGATAGGCTCAAGTTGAAATCAAATAATGATCCAAACCGCAATTCCGACGATTGGATTATTGACACTTGCACCTCAGTGCTTTTACCCCTGTGAACTCCTTTGCGTT